GTTCCATGCAAGCCTGGAAAAGATATGCAGCTGCTTTAAAGAGTAACATTAGCCTTAATAAGCTGACTCTTTAAAGCAGCTGCATCTCTCTTCCTCACCATGGCTTCTCCAGGACATCTGAAAAAAGTTGTGCTGCTTTAAAGAACAGCTGCAAGGTGCACAGTTTGAAGCCTGTTATCGATGTCATGTTCACAGCACAGAACAGGGAACACAATTTTTATACACAAATATCTGGAAACCCACAAGGCAAGTAAATTTCAACTTGGAATATGAAAAGAAAGTCACATCCCCTAATCTGAGCGGTCTCCTCTATGTTATGTGGGGATAGGAGCATAGTGGCTCGCAGAGTTAAGACGCTGGGTTGAAGGTTAGCAAGCCCGTGTTTGAGATCCGAGCGCTCCTGTGGGACGGGGTGAGCTCTTGTCCTTCGCTCCAGCTCCAGCTCCAGCTCCAGCTCCAGCTCCAGCTCCAGCTCCAGCTCCAGCTCCAGCTCCAGCTCCAGCTCCAGCTCCAGCTCGGGACATGAAACAGATCCCCAATTGGGCATCCCCCGGGCTCCTCTGTGTTATGTGGGAATAGGAGCATAGTGGCTCGCAGAGTTAAGACGCTGGGTTGAAGGTCAGCAAGCCCGTGTTTGAGATCCGAGTGCTCCTGTGGGACGGGGTGAGCTCTTGTCCTTCGCTCCAGCTCCAGCTCCAACTCCAGCTCCAGATCAGGACATGAAAGAGGTCCCCAATTGGGCATCCCGCAGGCTCCCCTGTGTTATGTGGGGATAGGAGCATAGTGGCTTGCAGAGTTAAGATGCTGGGTTGAAGGTTAGCAAGCCCATGTTTGAGACCCAAGTGCTCCTGTGGGACAGGGTGAGCTCTTGTCCTTTGCTCCAACTCCAGCTCCAGCTCCAGCTCCAGCTCGGGACATGAAAGAGGTCCCCAATTGGGCATCCCACAGGCTCCCCTGTGTTATGTGGGGATAGGAGCATAGCGGCTTGCAGAGTTAAGACGCTGGGTTGAAGGTTAGCAAGCCCGTGTTTGAGACCCGAGTGCTCCTGCGGGATGGGGTGAGCTCTTGTCCTTCGCTCCAGCTCCAGCTCGGGACATGAAAGAGGTCCCCAATTGGGTATCCCCCAGGCTATGGTGATTCAATGTGCTACTCCTTTCAACCTACAAGCACCCTGGTGCTTCTGACACGAGTGCGAAATGACGTAGGGATGACATCATCATCATCCTAAATTCTCAAAAATCCTGAATTGAGGGTGAAGGCCTCATGGCTACAATTAACAATCTGCCTTGATCTAAGAAGGACCTATAAGATACAACAATAAATTCTAACAAATGGAAAGCAAATTGGTTGAATGGCTCTGCTTCTCATGTCTCGGGGGAAGAATTTAGCAAAACTAACCAGATCCTGTTGTGCATGCAAATTCTGTATCCATCCATCCATCCACCCCCTTCTCTTTTTTTTCCTCCTCTCTTTCATTAGTGGCGTTAAATTTAGAATAAATGTGTCATTTTCACACCCCATCCTTCATTGCTGTAAACTGAACTACACAAAGATATAGGCAAGGATGTGCTGCTGGAGGTTTGAAGGGGTTCAGGAGAACCTCTAGCTAAGATTCTGTGCAGTTCGGAGAACCCCCGAATCCCATTCCTGGTTGGCCCCACCCAACCCTGCCCCACCTCTTCTACGACTCCCCACACGGCCCGTCTTGGATTCAGGTAAGTGTAGGGCACATGCAGAGGCTCGGGAGGGCAAAGGAAGTTCAGGAAGGCCGGAAATGGGCCTGTTTCTTGCCTCCAGAGGGCCTCTGGAGCCTGGGGAGGCCGTTTTCGCCCTTCCAGAGGCTCAAGAAAAGCCTCCGGAGCCCGAGGAGGGCAAAAACGGCCCCCCTCCCTGCCATGTTGCAGGAGGCCGACTAGGCCACGCCCACCATGGCCACGCCCACCCAGCAGCACCTTGCTAAAATTTTTGAAGCCCACCCCTGGATATAGGGGCCCGAATCTTTAACAGCCTTGTTCTTTTCTTCTTCTTTTTTTCATTACGCTGCAGATGAAAAGTCAGTCTTAATAGCATTTCTTGATTCGTCATTACTGGCTCACAGCTAATGCATTCTCTGGCTTCCTGCCAGCCATTTTGGCTTGAGGTTGATAATGGTTAACCAAAAAATTGGCACCACAGAATTTCAAGCGATATGGATTAACTATTGCTTAAAAAAAAAGAAGTCCTCTGCTAATGGAATTTCACTCCTGTTTAGGGTTCATCTGCCACCCCGATCTGCTGCCAAAGAATAACCAATTTATTCTGAATCCGCAATGTTAGTTTCCACCAAAATCCGATTCCCTACCAATCTGTACTGATTATTAACCCACAGTCACGGAGCTGTCGATCAAGCTAGCCATGGTATACAGATGCCTGGGAAAGCAAACGACTGACTCCATTTCATTAGGTGGAAACAGGAAAAATGGCCTTGTTTGTTTTAAGCATAACCTCCTGCCGAGCACCGAGGAAATCAGGAGATTCAGGCCGTTCAAATGAGCGTAAAGATTTATTGCGAGTTTAAGCTCTCTACAAAAATCTGACCTACTAACTGTCAAGGGAAATGAGTGGGAATTAAGAAGGCATCCAAGGTGGGCTGGACTTAGCTCTCTTGCAGGGGCGCAGGGACTCGTGACTTATGACACATTTGACCCCTCCATCGGGCTCAGCCTACACCTCAGCTTCAACAGATACCGCAAAACACAACTAAAACTTCACCAACGGAAATAGGATCACAGATTTGGATTCACAGCTGGTTTAGGTACTCAAGAGTACAGGTAATCCTCGATTTATGACCACAATTGAGCCCCAAATTTCTGTTGCTAAGCGAGACGGTTGTTACAGTGAATTTTGCCTCATTCTATGACCTTTCTTGCCACAGTTGTTGAGGGAGTCACTGCAGTTGCTTGTAACACAGTCAAACACCCACTAACTTCGCTTGTCACATGCCCTCTCTTTCCCATCTCCCTTTTCCTTCCTTCCTTCCCTCCTAATCCTTCCTCTCCCTCCCTCCCTCCTTCTGGCAGTTGAACTCCTCCGTTTTAACGTTGCAAAGGTTGTGCAACCTTTCTCTAAACCAAAAATTGCCAATCTCCCGCCACTAAGCCACAAAGGATAAATTGTCCCAGAGAGTAACAGTGGTGTCATATTGTGAGTCATTACACCAATTTCCTCCTCTTCACTAAAACGAATGGTGGTTAAGGCAAGGATTTCCTGCCACCCTTTGGATTTATTTCTTTATTCCCGTTCTATAGCGGCCCTCCTCTTTGTCAAGTTTGCGCCAAGTTTGCTCCTGACCTCCCTCGAGAAGCGTTTCGAACACAGAACCCCGTTTCCCTCTCTCTCTCTCTCTCTCTCATGGCCAAGTCAATTTTTATTTCTTGGCTTTGCACGAAACACGAACGAATGAACCGAAAAGGAACTCGGCTTTAGGATGATGAGCCGATAATGAAGCTTTTTTGATCGCAATTATTTCCAGATGGGACGCGCTTAATGCCACATTTTTTTTGACAAGTTGACGGGAATAAATCCACCTTGGCAAAGTTTTTGACAGCTGGATGAATTAGGGAAAAGAGAAGCTTGGATTTTCCCCACCGCAGGCTCCCTCGAGCCATAGCTTAACTGATAATAATCCCAAGGAAAAATTTTTTTTTGAAAGCCTGGAAAATGGTCCTTTAAAAGCAGGCTAAGATTTAAAATTTCGCACGGGCTGCACTGGGTGTGTGTGGAGCTGTCCAATTTCCGCCGTCCAATGAATTGGATCGAAACCATCTAAAATTCATCCGCTTTGTGTCTTCTTTGAAGCATGCCCACAAGAATATTTATATATATATATATATATTTTTAAAGGATTTAAAAGCCGAAATATATGCTTTGGGTAGGCGCTTTCCAAGGGCCGGTGGCAAAGTTTTAGTTTTTAAATTGTAAAAAAGTTTTAAAAACTTTTTTAGTTTTTAAATTGTCAATGGGTTTTAGTTTCAATGTTTTAAATTTTGGGCCAAAGTCATGTAATTCTTTTAAAATTTTTAAATTTTGTATTGGTATGTGTTTTAGTTCTGGCTGTGCACCGCCCTGAGTCCACTAGGAGAAGGGCGGGTATACAAATTGAATAAAATAAATAAATAAATAAATAAATAAATAAATAAATAAATAAATAAAGAAAGAAAGAAAGAAAGAAAGAAAGAAAGAAAGAAAGAAAGAAAGAAAGAGAAAGTAAGTAAGTAAGTAAGTAAGTAAGTAAGTTTAGTGCCGAGGACTAGAAGTGCGAAACTTTTCACAGTGAGGACTAGAAACATGAAACATCTCCTCCGCGCTGCTAAGCGTGTGGCTCAGGCAGCCCTTTTGAGTTGCGATGATTTGCAAGGACTGGAATTTAATGGCTTTTAAGGGCCGAATTACTTCAACCCCGAAGCCTGAAAGTTTAAATTTTAAAAGAGCGCATGCTAGAGAAAAATTAGTCACGAGAAGAAACACGGATTTTCAGGCTGCAAAATATTATTATTATTATTATTATTATTATTGTTGTTGTTGTTGTTGTTGTTGTTGTTGTTGTTGTTGTTGTTGATTTTATTTTGAATTTATATACCGCATCTTCTCCCGAGGGATTCAGGGCGGTGTACAGCCAGATAAAAACATACAATACAAACATTAAAAAACAATTAAAAGGATATATATTAATTTGGCCCCAATTTAAGATAACAAACTAATTAAAAATTAAAATATGTTAAAAAATATGTTAAGCCAGCTCGGCTTGCTGAAAAAAGAAAGGATGATGATGATGATGATGATGAATGATGAAAAATAACGTGAAAAATGGGGCTGGAGAGATTGCAGGTTGGAGAAATGAATAGGTCTTGGTTAATTAATTAGATACAGATTCTTACAGAGTCGGAAGGGACCTTGGAGGTCATCTAGTCCAACCCCCCGCCCATCCATTGTTCCTTGTCTGGCCTTCGGGTGCTTTGGAAAATAGCTGGACCCCCTTCCTCCTCTCTGAGGCAGCCCCTCAAATACTGGAAGATGCTATCCTGTCTCCCCTGGTCCTTCTCTTAATGTGAATTTTATTCCGATTTCCAGTATTCGCCTCTGCTGAAGAAACTCTACTGTCAAATTGCAAAGACGTGTCCGATCCAGATTAAGGTCTCCACGCCTCCTCCTCCCGGGACGGTCATCCGAGCCATGCCGGTATACAAGAAGGCCGAACACGTAACCGAAGTGGTCAAGCGGTGCCCGAATCACGAGCTGGGACGCGATTTCAACGACGGTGCGATCTTTTCCTTTATCCTTTTATCTCTCGAACTCGGCTCTTTGCTTCTCTGAATGCAGTTTTTTTTTTTTTTACGTTCCGCAGAAGAGGCTTCTGGTTATCATCATCTTTTAACAATCCCATAATCCCTGGCAGGGTGGAGTCTGGGCAATTGAATGGAGTTAGCAGGGTGTTTTTAATGGCCGGATGCTTTTCCTGTTGCCAGTACGGAGTTTTGTTCGGCAGATATATTCTCATTGTGCCCAGAGAAAGAGAAATATCTGCCTCTACCTAGGATCGAACTCACAGCTTCCTAGTTGTGAGGCGAGAGCTCTACCTCTAGGCCATCACACCACTCTAAGAGGCTTCTGGTTATCTGCCTCATTAAATGTTTTAAGATTTTGGGATGGCTTTTTTTAAAAAAAGAAAATCGTTTAGAGACTCCTATATATATAGTTTAAAAATCCCTTCCAAGATTTCCCTGGGGGAATTTGATGAATCGATCGATGGATGGATTGATTGCTCTTTGATTGAAGAGTTGATAACTACATCATACATATGACCGTCATAAATATGACTCGATTGCCAAGCATCTGAATTTTGATCCCGTGAACGTGGGGATGCTTACTATGGTCGTAAGTGTGAAAAAACGGTCGTAAGTCACTTTCAGGGCCGTCGTAACTTCAAACGGTCACTAAACGAACTGTATCTGTCCCCCGTTATAAAATGGGGACACGTTCACCATTTAGCAAAGAATATCTTGCAATCCCGGAAAGAGACGTGGGGGAAAAAAAAAGAGATGACACCCGATGAGATGTTAATATTCATAATAATAATAATATTACAATAGGAGAAAGATTCGCCTTGGGAGCATTTTCGTAGCGGCTTCCCCCTGCTCCTTGATGGAGCTTCCATGGACAGTGGCAGTATAGCTGAAAATAACCACATCTCGCATCGGGAATGATTGCAGATAATTTTTACATTTTTCCTTCTTCTTTCTTCTTCTGCAATGCAATTTCCTTGCTCAAATCTGCAACTTTGCAATTAAGACAGGTTTTTTTTTTCCCCTAGGCCTCTCGGCGCCCGCCAGCCATTTGATCCGCGTGGAAGGCAACAACCTGTCCCAGTATGTCGACGACCCCGTGACGGGAAGGCAGAGTGTCATGGTCCCTTACGAGTCCCCCCAGGTGACGTGTCGGGTCTGCAAAGTTAAGGGCTGCTTTGCTTTGCTCTTTTGTCCGATTGCCAAAGATGCTAGTCCTCTTGAAGGTTCGGGGGGAAAAGGATTGGCATTGCTCGGGGCCGGGAAAGTGGCGCTTTCAGGAAATTATTCTTGCAAATTTATTGCATCAAAAGAAGCGAAGACTGAGCCTTTCCCCCCCCCCTTCCGATATTGAGCCAAAATTTCCATTACGGGGTTAATTTTCATTGGCGGAATTGATTTCTTTGCAGGCGGTAATGAAGGTGAAAGAGAACAAATCTGCCGCCATCTGGTGGCCGTCTGAGCAACTGCAGCTAAGTCTGCAGGGTCTCATTTTAAAAGGGGCTGCAAGCTAAGCAGGGTCAGGCTGGGTGAGGAGTTGGAAGGGAGACTGGGGAGCGGAAAAAGCCACCCGACAAGATAGCCAGGGTGATTTTCTTGTGTGTTGTGGTCCAGAAATGTTATGGAGGTTTCCATCTCAGTGGGAGTCAAGCTTTAGTCTGATTTTACGACAATCGAAAGAAATTTTGTATTTTTTGGGCAGAAAAATCTCAAAAAACGATGGATAGAGTTCTCTTTTTCTTGCAAGATCTGAGAATTTAAAAAAAAAACAAACAGCCAAGATTGCATCAAACAGCTAAGTGCGCCCCCTGCTGGACTCCCCAGACATCATGTTTGGTACACAGATAGTCCTCGGTTTATGACTGGAATTCAGCCTGCAGTTTTGGTCCTAAGTCATGATAGTCACACAGCGGGTCACCGCACGACCACACCCAAATTTACGACGGCCGTTCAGCAAACGCTGTGGTCGTTATGCAAGTTCGTCGTTCGCTAGGGGGCGTCTTTTTCTGGCAAAACCATCATCCATTGAACGCTCACGGGACGGCGGGATGCCGCAAACCGCCTTACACGCAGGCCAGTCGCCAAGCCCCCCCCCAAAAAAAATGTGCTCCCGTGAATCAAATCTGGCTCACGAGTCGCTTTTGCTGGGGTCCATCGTAACTTCGAATATGTGCTAAATGCCGAGGGCTACCGGTAAAAACGAAAGCCAAACGTTGAATTCGAGAATCGTACAAATTGTTTTGTATTCTTCTCCTACGGCAGCACTTTTTAGACTGGGGTTGGGGGGGCGGGAGGTGATTCTGACACGGGACCCCAACTTGCGATGGCAGGGAGTGTGTGGCCCATAGTGTTGTGGCCCCTCCAGCAGCCGAATCAGATGAGGAGGAGAAGTGGGAGTCAAGATCAGCATCAGGGCAACCTGAGAGCTCCGAGGGGGAAGAGGGAATGGAGCTAGCAGAGAGAGAGAGACAGAGGCGCAGCTGGGGGTGTCCGTCAGCCCTCAGATGGAGAGTCAACAGCCCCCAGGTCTGGAGGTGGCGGATGAGGAAGAGGAGGAACAGCTGGGTCCAGTGCCTGACACACAGATGCACAGAAGGCAGAGGAGAGGAGAGCAGTGGAAATCTATAGGCCGGTCCTCGGGACGGAAGAGCCACTGCTGCTAGTGAAGCCCCACATTAGCTCTGGGGATAAAAGGCAGGGGGGCGGAGATGAATAGATGTGGCCGACAACTATTTATCTCCTGGATGGACAGACTTGTTAGCCTGCGGTGAGAGAGAAACGTTTTGCCGGGGCTGCCGACGCTTCTAATAAAGGAATCATTGCTTCAACTACAGAGGGTTTGTCGTGTTCGGGGGAGCTGGGTCGGAACACGTAGCTTACAAATTCCGCCCACCGTTCGTTTGGATAAACGAACCTCTCTCTCGTTTTGTCTCGTCAAGGTGGGCACCGAATTTACCACCATCCTGTACAACTTCATGTGTAACAGCAGCTGTGTGGGAGGCATGAACCGGAGACCGATTTTAATCATCATCACGCTGGAGACGAGAGAGTGAGTTCAGCCGCGTGGGGGCGTCCCACTTCGGGGCTCCTCTGGAGTCCCGCTCTGCAAGGTCGGTTGTTGAGATTAGAACCCGAGCGCCGCGAACGAATCCCGGGGTTGAAACGGGAGTCGATATGGGCGAGATTCCCATCTACGAATCTTTGCCGGTCCTGTTGAGGGTTTGTTTTTTTTTGAGAAAACCAGATGCTCGTACGGGAGATTTTATAGAATTTTGGGACACCCCTACCGTGTGAGAATTTTGCAATTTTTGCTTTCCACCCGAACTGGAAAAGTTGTTTGTTCCTTGTAAAAGTTTTACAAGGGTTTTAGAAACTCCACCAAGTTGATTGAAGATATTTTGAGTCTTCTCAAACACGGCACAATTTGCATGGCGGATTTTTTTTTTTTAATCGTGTCCGATTTTCGGACAGTGTGGTTTTCTTGGGCAAGGTTTTTTTTTCAGAAGCGGTTTGCCATTGCCTCCTTCCTAGGGCTGAGATGAGAGTGGCTGGCTCAACGTCATCCAGCTGGCTTCGTTCCCAAGGCGAGATTCGAGCCGTTTCTAGCCTGGTGTCGTCAGCACGACACGAAACTGGTTCTCTCGCGTGGCAGTTAAAAACCCCAAATCCAAGCAGCCCAGAGTTAGTAACAACCGTGGCGAGAAAGGTCGTAAAGTGGAGCAAAACCCGCTTAACAAATGTCTCGCTTTGCGATGGAAATTTGGGGCTCAATTGTGATCGTAAGTCGAGGACTACCTTGTGCTGTTGTTTTCCCCTAGCGGACAAGTCTTGGGTCGCCGATCGTTCGAAGGCCGGATCTGCGCCTGTCCCGGACGAGACCGGAAAGCCGACGAAGATCACTTCCGAGAACAGCAAGCGCTGAACGAAAACGCCGCCAAGAACGGAAACCCCAATAAGAGGAGTGAGTTCTGGGATTGGCGGTCCTGACCCTCTGAGGCTGGTTAGGGAGATGGGAGATGGAGTCCCATCATGGGGGAGAAAGCATCAGCTTAGGGTTAAAGGGTAAACCTTCCAGGATACTGAATCATCCAACATGTAGTAACGGATTCCCGCCCTGTATTAGCGGGTTGAACTAGATGGCCTCCAGTTTCCCTCCCATTCTATGATTTTTAGTTTAGATTCCTTCCCTGGGCATGGGTTGAACTCGATGATCTCCAAGTTCCCTTCCCTTCTAGGATTCCAAGCTTTAATTTGGATTCCTGGCCCTCAGGAGGGGGTTGGACTAGATGACCTCCGAGGTCCCTTCCCTTCTGTGATGCTATGATTCTTCCCAGCTTTCAAACAGAGCCCGCAAAGTATCCCAGCGTTGGGGGCCGGGGTTAAGAAACGGAGGCACGGCGAGGAGGAAACGTATTACGTGCCTGTAAGTAGTAAATTTGCACCCCAAAAAAATCCCGTTATTTGTGTTCTGTTTTGTGTTTAATCTTTGCAGCCTGTTTCTTACCATTAAAAAATTAGACAAACACCACCCTGAAAATTAGAGATATTTAGTCGGGGACTCTGCAATCCGTTCCAGATAATTTCATCTCCAGCACTCAACCACCGGCAAACACCGATGGGAGCTGTAGTCCCAAACCATCGGCGGAGACCGATGGGAGCTGTAGTCCCGAAAGGCGGCAAAGCAGGGATAGGTTCCTGATAAAATTGCTTCCTTTGGAAATCCAAACAGTCCCCTCTGGTTTCTCCTTCGCTCAGGTTCGAGGTCGGGAAAACTTTGAGATGCTGATGAAGATCAAAGAAAGTTTGGAACTGGTCGAGCTGGTCCCCCAGCAGTTGGTCGACTCTTACCGACAGCAGCAACAGCAGTTTCTGCAGCGACAGTGAGTCCCGCACAAACCCCCATCCGTTCTTTGTCCAAACGCTGTCTCCTTGTTGCAACAATGCAAGGAAAACCTGGCAAGAGTTGACGGGATGACGAGGAGGGTGACCAAAATCTCATGTGTTATTCTGTGGGTTCACTTCTCCTAACAGGGGTGGGCGACCGGAGGCCTCGGAGCCCTGTCCCACCCAGATCTTTGAATCGGGAACTTCTTGTCCAACTGCTCCTATGAAACTTACTCGCGTCGTATAAATCCTGCGTTTCAAGTCTTGACGGTGACTGAGAATCGCTTAGAGCAGAGCTGGACACATCTTATGGACCCCAGGGCCAACTCGGGCCCTTTGATTGTCCCTGTCTAGCCGGCGTGAGGTCAATTGGAAATTAGAAATGAAATGAAAGAAGCAATAAAGGAGAGTGTGTGTAGGTCAGGGTTGAAATGAGGGATCGTTGGTGCTCTCTGAGCTTTGGGCTTTTCTTGCAGACGTTTCACGACCCAACTAGGGAACATTATCAGGGCTAGAAGGGAGGGGGATTTGCAGTGGTAGCACTGAAGATATTCCCTAGTTGGATCATGAAACGCCTGCAAGAAAAGCACCAAGGTCAGAGAGCACCAAGGACCCTACAGTCGTCCTCTTCCCCCTGTCTGCAAACCTTCTAGCTCTGATGATGTTATCTAGCTGGGTCATGAAACTCTTGTGTTACAGATTCTGTTTATAGTACAATCACCATGTACAATCACCATGTGCTTTACTGCTCAACTATTTTAACTGTAACAGAGATCTCTTACTTAGAACAAAAGAGCATAGAGCATATACCATAGATCCAAACTTGTAAACACTGCCATCTACTGGCTGAATACTACTGTAGTTGTTGCCTACAAATACATTCCAACAATCTGCAAGGAAAAAAACCAAGCTCAGAGAGCACCAAAGACCCCACAGTCCTCCTCCTCCCTCCCTCCCTCCGCAAACCCACTCCCTTCTAACACTGATGATGTTATCTAATTGGGTCATGAAACGTTTGCAAGAAAACCACCAGGCTCAGAGAGCACCAAGGACCCCTGAAATGAAATAAACAGGCTGCAGGGGGCAGGACAACCTTCAGCTGACTGGCGCCCTCAAGTGGCCTGCTTTAGAAATTCAATTGCCCATATCCCTGGCTTAAACGCGACTCCAGGTTCCCCACGTTGGTTTTTGCAGATGATGGGCACAGCTCCCCCTAACCTGCGGGGAGGGCAGCACCTTGGTCCAGTTGGAAGGAGGAGGGCGCCCCCTGGCATGTTTTGGGCTCACTCTCTGCTCCTTTCGCCCACAGGACGCACCTCCATTCTCCATCGTCCTATGGCCCGGTCTTGTCCCCCGTGAATAAGCTTCATCCAGGAGGCATCAACAAGCTGCCATCCGTGAACCAGCTGGTGGGGCAACCTCTTCAGCAGGGGCCTGGCACGGGGCCAAACCTTGGGCCTATGGGTAAGACCCCTCCCCCCTCAAAGGTATCCCCATAACTTATTTCACATCTGCCCTGCTGATGATTTCAAGGAATCCGTGTTGGTTGAACCATACCCAGTTTAGGTAGTTGTTGAGTTTTTGGCCCTTCCATCACTTCTACAAATGCCAGTAGTCCTTGACTTACAACAGTGACCGTTTGAAGTTACCTAAAGGCCCTGAAAAAAGCAATTTACGACCAGTGGTGGGATTCAAGTAATTTTAACAACTGGTTCTCTGCCCTAAGGATTTCTTCCAACAACCAGTTTGCCAAACTGCTCAGAAAGTTAACAACCAGTTCTCCCGAAGTGGTGCGAACTGGTTGAATCCCATCACTGCCCTTGGCACTCTGGGCAGTGGTGGGATTCAGCCAGTGGTGGGATTCAAGTAATTTAACAACCAGTTCCCTGCCCTAATGATTTCTTCCAACAACCACTTTGCCAAACTGCTCAGAAAGTTAACAACCGGTTCTCCCAAAGTGGTGCGAACCGGCTGAATCCCATCACTGCTTCCTGCTTTTTAGGGAAGCCTAGGTCAGAACAGGAGCCGACATCCGAGCCGAATGCATTCCATATTTACAAGTAAAATGGGATTTGTAAACTCACCGGCTGTGTTTCTTTTCTGGATCTCAGGCCCGACAATGCTCAACAATCACGCCATGCAGTCCAACGGCGAGATGAACGGGGCACACGCCTCACAGCCCATGGTCTCCAGCTCACACTGCACTCCGCCCCCACCCTACAACCCAGACCCCAGCCTTGTCAGGTACGGACGCCACAGGTGGTGGTGGCGGGGGGGGGGCAGCCCCTCTTGTCTGTTTTAACATCTAGCTGATCCAGGGATGGGGACCCCAATGATGTTCCAGGTGCAATAACCTTGATGACTTGTGGACTACAGTTCCCATAATCCCCCAGTCATGCCAGGGTGGAAGGCCGCTGGTCTAGGGGGTCTCCTGAGTGAGCAGGGGGTTAGACTAGAAGACCTCCAAGGTCCCTTCCAACTCTGTTACTCTACATCTTATATCATCTCTGGAGCAAGCTGGTTTTGGGCTGAGGGCTGCACACAATTCGATTCAAGGAGTCTCCAAATTTGGCAACTTCGAAGACTCGTGGGCTTCAACTCCCAGAATTCCCCCAGCCGGTTGCCAAATTCAGAGACCCTTGGCCTAGAATACCTTAAAGGCAAAGGTTCCCCTCGCACATATGTGCCAGTCGTTCCTGACTCTAGGGGGCGCTGCTCATCTCCGTTTCAAAGCCAAAGAGCCAGCGCTGTCCGAAGACGTCTCCGTGGTCATGTGGCTGGCATGACTCAACGCCAAAGGCGCACCGAACGCTGTTCCCTTCCCATCAAAGGTGGTCCTTATTTTCCTACTTGCCTTTTTTACCTGCTTTCGAACTGCTAGGTTGGCAGAAGCTGGGACAAGTCACGGGAGCTCACCCCATTACGCGGCACTCGGGATTCGAACCGCCGCACTGCCGACCTTTCGATCGACAAGCTCAGCGTCTTAGCCACTGAGTCACCGCGTCCCTTAGAATACCTTCCTCCCTCCCCAAAAACTGGAAAATCATCCTCCTGACACGCCATTCGTGGAAACCAACTCTGCAATTCTCAAGAATTTGGGCAGATGGTTGCTGGCTGCCTCCTCGTTGGGGAGGATGGGTTTGGTAGTGCTGCGGCTCCTTGCCCAACGGCACTACACAACCCCCCCCCACCCTTGGCAAGTTCTTCTGAACAGACTGGCACAGGACGTCAGGATTTAATCTAATTTTTGATGATGATGATGATGATGACGATGACGAAATATCTCGCTTCTGTCAGGATTTAATCTTTTTTTTTTTTTTAATTCTCCTTTATTTTCCTTTGCAGTTTTCTAGCAGGATTGGGTTGCTCGAACTGCATTGACTATTTCACTTCGCAAGGCTTACAGACTCTTTATCACCTGCAGAATTTGACCTTGGAGGTAAATGCACCTTTTCGGAAAGGTCTCTTGCTTGTGGGTGGGGTGGGGGGGGCACGGAGGGATCAACGGGGATGAGGAGGGGTGCAGGACCCCAACCCATTTCTCCCCCCATCCCCTTTTGCAATGTTCCCTTCGCTCCGTCTGGGGCCTCTCCGTGCCTCCCCATCCAAGGACTTGGCCCATTTTGCAAAAAAAAAAACTAAATTCATATCCGGTGGCAAAGGTGAATACAGGTTGCCTCCCCCCCGACACAATCCCCCCACTTTCCATTTTCTTCTAACATCTTCCTTCTCTTCCCCCTCTCCCCGCAGCTCTTGTGGTCAGGAGGACGGAGAATAAATTTGGAGATTGTTTTGTAGATGGAAGAAGCTGGGGGGGTGGGGGTGGGGGTGGGCGTGTGTTGTTTGCTTTCTTTTCATTTCTTGCAAATATTCTTGAAAACAGGATATTTGTGGCTCGGGGTTGAACTGTGGGGGTCCTCGGGGGCTCTCTGAGGTGGGTGGTTTTTTTGCAGACGTTTTAATGACCCAGCTAGGGAACGTCATCAGTGCTAGAAGGAAGTGGGAGTTGAGCAGGAGGAGGAAGAGGAGAAGGAGGAGGAGGAGGAGGAGGAGGAGGAGGAGGAGGAGGAGGAGGAGGAGGAGGAGGAGGAAGGACTGTGGGATCCTTAGTGCTCTCTGAGCTACTTGGTTTTCTTGAAGACATTTCATTACCCAACCAAATAACATCATCAGTGTTAGCAATGAATGAGGTTTGCCGAGAGAAGGACAAAGAAAAAGGAAAGGAGGGGGAGGAGGAGGAGGAGGAGGAGGAGGATTCATTCAAACGTTTCATTGCCCAACTAAGCAACATCATTATTCCACCGTCAGTTATGACGTTACCTAGTTGGGCAATGAAACATCTGTAAGAAAACCACCCAGCCTCCGAAAGCACTCAAGGACCCCCACGGGATGGAGATCTGTCCTTCGGAGTTGATCCGCGCCTTCATCTCTCGGTAGGATCTCGCGGCCCTGAAGATCCCGGAGCAATACCGCATGGTCATCTGGAGGGGCCTCCAAGATCTGAAGCAGAGCCACGATTACGGCGGGCAGCAGCTCCTCCGTTCCAGCAGCAACGCCGCCACCATCTCCATCGGGACTTCCGGAGAGCTGCAGCGGCAGCGCGTCATGGAAGCTGTGCATTTCCGAGTCCGTCACACCATCACCATCCCGAATCGGAGCGGATCCGACGAATGGGCAGACTTTGGCTTCGACCTGCCGGATTGCAAATCCCGCAAACAGTCCATCAAAGAGGAGTTTCTCGAGGGGGAAATCAACTGAAGTGGTCTGGGGGGGACGGGGAGGTCTGGGGCGAGCCAGCCGGCTCTGCGGACCCGTAGATTTTGGTGCCAGACTAAAGCCGCACCAAAAAAAAAAAAAAAGTATTGCGGAGAGGTTGTGGCGGTGGACTATCGGCGGTGTCCGCTTTCGTACGCCCGTCGACGGCGTTGTCGTGCAACCCATCGGAAGGAAAGAGATGGCGTTCAACTGGCAGACTCGGAAAAATCGACGAATACATTTCACTTTCGTACGTTTTGCCTACGGCGACGACGTGCGAAAACGCAAAGCGATCAGAAGGAAAGAGACTCGGAAAAATCGACGGAAACTTGCATTTGAATTTGCTGAACATCTGGGTGTCAATTTTGCGTCCACAAGGAGAGAGGAGGGGCAGGTTTCGTTCCTGAACAATCAACCCTCGACTTTTCCTCCAACGATGGCCATCGTTTCTTCTGAAAAATGGGTCAATCCCCCATTTGGTTGAAAAGGATCTAGAAACGAGGGGTACCGCCTTCCGCCGACCCCCATCCCTTCCTTTAACGGACTGCCAAAAAGTGTTTGTTTTTCTACAGTGCTACGTAGACTGAAAACAACAACAGAAACTGTTTATAAGTCGGTCGACAAAGCCAAGTGACGTTTGTATTAGTTAGGCTCACCCTTTGCTCCGCTCGAGCAGACATACGCTGTACATAACTGTATTTAATCACTGTTGTAAGGTTTATGTAAGCTATTTTAAGATGGACGTGGCTTTGTCTACCACCAAGATTTGACCATTTGGGGGTCTAATTCCAAGGGTCTCCTAACTTGGCAACTTTAAGACTTGTGGACTTCAACTCCCAGAATTCCCCAGCCAGCAGCAAATGGGGGAATTATGGGAGTTGAAGTCTAGAAAATTTTGCTATTTTGGGACTTCAACTCCCAGAATTCCCCAGCCAGCAGCAAATGGCTGGCAAGGGAATTCTGGGAGTTGAAGCCCACAAAACATGGCAACTTTAAGACTTGTGGACTTCAACTCCCAGAATTCCCCAGCCAGCAGCAAATGGCTGGCTAGGGAATTCTGGGAGTTGAAGTCCACAAATCTTAAAAGTTGCCAAGTTTGGAGAGGAAGAAAAGACTTATATGTACAGTCAAAGGGATTAAAACTCACGGATGATTTCGGCTTGGGGAGTCCATTCCTAAACTGAACGTCCGATCTCCATAAAGAAACGGATTTTTAAAAAATTATATGTGCTTTGCCATGAGATCCGTGCGTGTGTGATGGGATTGCGATTCAGAAAATGTTGGGTGTCGTTTATGGATGCAAAGTTTTCCCTCTTATCACAATTTGCTGCCTAAGAGTCCTGCTTCAGTCTGTCTAATGATAAAATTAGGAGAAATACTTACAACCCCCAAGATAAACAATCTGTACGTAACACCTACATGCAAACTGAATATACACACTTTTTTCAATCTCCAAGGACATTTTACAGGGGTAAAATGCTACTGGTTCACACCAGTTCGGACAAACCGGTAGTTGAAAAAAAAGCTACCAGTTTATTTCCGACTATCAGCTATGCCATGAGATTTATATTCTAAATTGGGCGGCACAGCTGTTTCCCCCCTCTCGCTGTTCTACTTACCTTCTTAAGCCTCCTTTTCCCGCACTTTTTCCGCACTTTTTCCCCACATTTGGTGCACCCTACTTATGGGCAGGCATCAAACCCACCGCAAACTGCGGAAAATTTCACCACTGGACTGACCCAAACATGCAGCAAATTCCTAGGGAATTTTTTTGGGGGAAAAAATAGCTAAGATTAAAAAGAAGAAAAAAAATTAAAGAGGAAAGTTTAAAATCTTTAGAAAGTGTAAAAAAAAAAACAAACCCCACTCTTGCCAGTCTCCCGAGTGTAAATTCAACGGATCGTAAATATTTAAAAAAAAGGTTGTATTAATTTTGGAAGATTGTCCTCTGATCCCAAACACATTTTTCCCCCCCCAACTTTCAAGTTGTTGTTGAAGCTTGGAGGTCCAAATTTAAACAGTGCTCCGAGTTGTTTATAGCAGGGAAAAAAAAAATCAAAATTCTCCAGTCAGGTCCAGGATTGAGTTGACTTTTAAAAAGCGTTCCTTTTACGTTTTTTAACGCAACGCATCTTCCCCAAGCAAGGGATTCACACGGCTTGGTTTATTTGCTTGCAGAATTGGTGTTGTTGCTGTTGTGTTTTTGTTTGTGTGTGTGTGTGTGTGTGTGTGTTGAAACAGCTGGCTGTTTCGCAAACAAACACATTTCCAGGTGATTTCGAATTCCCCATCTTACTAGCAGTTCCTGCGCGTGGGACGAGGGGTAAAACTTCCTCCTTGTCTAACCAATTCTCCGAGCCAACTGAGGGAGGCATCCCCGAACTGTGCTTTGCGATCCCGGATCCCGAGATCGAATCACGCCAGCCAAGTAGAAATCCAGTTAAAGCACTTTACTTTAAAAAAAAAAAAAGTGGAAAAAAAAAAAACCTTTTCAGTCTCTTATGTTGTGGCAGTAAGAAAAAATGTCTTTTCTGAGCTCTTTTCTGAGCTCTTTTCCCTGGCAGCAGTATTAACTATTGTAGAGTTCTAGGTAAGCCAAGATTAGCAGCCAAAAATAACAAAAATAGCCCAGGAAGAAGCAATGAAAGCTATCAGTGGCTTGTTTGCTTGAAGGGGAACTATGGTTGATTCTGATTTTTTAAAAAATTTGCTTTTTTTAATGCGGAGAAGAAAGTAGAAGAGACGGAGAATTATCTTTTTATCTAAAAATCTCTGCTTTAGGATAGGGCAGCGATACCCTACAAAAAACTGATTTATTATCCCCACCACTTCTCAAACCACGGCCTTAAATGACCAAAAAGGGCCAAGAAGAAGTTTCTGAGATGCTGGCCGTATCTTTAAAAAAAAAAATGCACATTTGCGCCAGATTGATATTTTCTCCCACGGAAAAAAAAGAAAAAAAATTACGTCGTCATTACTGGAAAAAAAGAGGCTTAGGGCCGTTTTTCAACACTTACGACCGTTGGTTCACGAGATTCCAAATTCCGGCACTTGGCAACCGACTCGTCTTTATGACGGTCGCAGAGTCCCGAGGTTGCACGCGATTTCTCTTTGGCGAACACTCCCGACACGCAAAGTCGATAGGGGACTCGGGTTCACTGAACAACCGCGGCATGAAAACGAGGCGAAATTCGTTCGAACCGCCGCCTCGCTTAGCGACAGGAAAATGTTGGCGGTCCGTGGTGGTCGTACCTCGAGGACTACCTGTGCTACACATAACACGGCGAAGAGTTTAAAGTTGATTAGAATTCACGGCTTTTGTGGGACTGGCTCAGGACGCGGCAAATATATCCGCCTCTTTCTGGATGATCGTTCAGACTAGTAGTGTGTTTAGCCGGATCTATCCGGTTTTGGCAAACCGGTAGCGGCGGCTGCAGGAGGCTCCGCCCACCCACCCAGACGTCATCACGTCACGTTTTTTGACGCTCTGCACATGCGCTCAAGGCCCTGCGCATGTGCGGAGATGGCCGGTGTGCTCGCATTTGCGAACCGGTAGCGAAGGTAAGCGAATGCCATCCCTGATTCAGACAATAATGCTGGCTTCAGTTTTAGGGGATCGGACTGGGACCCCAAGAATCAGACAGAAATGGACTTCAGTTTAGTTTTGGTTTTCCCCCCGAATGGTCAAACATGTTTGCTTTGCTGTAATGATCTTTTTGAGGAACAAAAAAAAAGAAATTCTTATTTTTGTAAGGTTTTTTTTTTCCCCTTTTGGTAATACAATAAATGTATTTTGAATGTTGTCTTCCCTCTACAGGGAGGGGGAAAAAAAATCCCTTTTGTATAAATGCATCTTTTTTTCCCACATTCCTGAGCAAATATTTCTGACTGTGCTGTAGCCAAAATATTTAACACTAACGTTAATCGTTCCAAGTGTTTTAAAGCAGTATTTCTCTGCCTTAGCAACTTTTAAAACAGGTGGACTTCGACTCCCAGAATTCCTCAGCTGTTATGTCTGGACTTCAACTCCCAGAATTCCCCAGCCAGTATTTCTGGACTTCAACTCCCATAATTCCCCAGCCATTATGTTTGGACTTCAACTCCCAGAATTCCCTAGCCAGTATTTCTGGACTTCAACTCCCAGGATTCCCCAGCCATTATGTTTGGACTTCAACTCCCAGAATTCCCCAGCCAGCATGTCTGGACTTCAACTCCCAGAATTCCCTAACCAGTTGACCTCCATGCATCTTAAAGCAGCTAAAGTTGAGAAACACCTTTTTTTAACCACAGCCCATCACTCCCTGCCAGAATGGCTCCTGGAGACTACTGAACGATGGTAGATGTAGTCAAAACAATCCAGAGAACCCGAATGGAGGGAAGCCGATCCAGAAACAAATCTTGTTAGAAAACATTTCATTTTATTTTTAACTTTTAAACTCACCAGGCCTAGGAGTGTTCTGAGCAATCACTTCATCCACTTTATTTTTTTTTTTTTATAAAAATAAAATATATCAAGGTGACAAGTACATCCTGAGGTGCTAGCTTTCTACATGCAGGAGTGGAAGGAGAATTTAACGACATCTCCCTTGGGAAAGGTTCAAACTCGAAAAACAATGCAGGTAAAAATTAAAAAAACAACAACAGACACTCACCAAAAAGGAAGGAGACGTTGGTCCAATGGCCATCATATTTTAATCACAGTCTTCATCAATTTTTTAACCTTTTGCTGCTCATAGTTGGGTGGGGAGAAGTGGTACCCGAAGACTTTCCACCATCCTTTTCTCAGCCTCCGATGGTTGCCACGATAACTACAGATCCCATGCTTCTGGAAAACCTCTCGTAGTTCCAAAGCGCCGGAATCTGAACTTTGGCAAAAATTCCATCAACTATTCATGATACCTCGCCCAATGCCCCCTCCGACTATTAATGAAATAAAGACAAATTTAAAAGAAGCGTCTTCCAAAGCGATTCTTTAGACTCGGGTCTCTTTGCAAACCTATCCTTTTATTTCGATGCCTTGAGAATCTTTCCAGGTGGATTTCCAAGACCAGGGGGGGATTCCTACAAGGCTTCAGACATTATTTGGGTTTTCTGGATGGATCAGCAAATACTCACTTTTGGGGTTTGATTATTTTTACTGAATCAGTTTCCCAGGTACGATGGATTCAGAAGGCTCGGCTAGGAATCTGCAGAGTGCCTCCTGCAAGCAAAAATATAATAAGAATAGAATAGAATAGCATAGAATAGAATAGAAGAATAGAATAGAATAGAATAGAATAGAATAGAATAGAATAGAATAGAATAGAATAGAATAGAATATTAGAATAGAATAGAATAGAATAGAATAGAATAGAATAGAACAGAATAGAATAGAATACAGTAAACTAGATTAGAATAGAATAGAATATAGTAAACTAGAATAGAATAATATAGAATGGAATGGAATGGAATGGAATGGAATAGAATATAGTAAACTAGAATAGAATAGAATGCAAAATATAATAATATAATATAAGATAAGATAAGATAAGATAAGATATATGATATGATATGATATGATATGATATGATAAATATAATATAAGAATAGAATAGAATAGAATAGAATAGAATAGAATAGAATAGAATAGAATGGAATGGAATGGAATGGAATGGAATGGAATGGAATGGAATGGAATGGAATAAATAGAATAGAATAGAATATAGTAAACTAGAATAGAATAATATAGAATAGAATAGAATAGAATAGAATAGTAAACTAGAATAGAATAGAATGCAAAATATAATATATGATATGATATGATATGATATAATATAATATAATATAATATAATATAACATAACATAACATAACATAACATAATATAACATAATATAATCCCTTTTGTATAAATGCATATTTATACCAATACAATACAATACAATACAATAACAACAATAAAAATTTTAAAGAAGGTACTTGGCTGATCCCTGGGACGCTGGCAGCAACCCGTATCAACCATCAGCACCAGTCAATGATATTTGTGATACATATTTAAATGTTCAGTTGACAATAAATCTGATTTGGCTCAGTTTCCACACTCAGAGAAAGAAGATCAAATGGATTTTTCCTTCTCGGTTTGTTTGGATCAAGAACCGGGGGGGGGATGCAGGGTCTTATTGGTACTTGTAGGGGGTCCCTCACCGGAAAGCCACAGGTGCCTTCTTCGTATCCGTGACCGCTACAGTTCTTTCCTCCATGTTCCGGGGAAGGGCTGTTGCACCGCCGTGACCGCCGGACGACTCCTAATCCACAGGAGACGGGGCAGGGCGTCCACGAGGCCCACAGAGACCACGCTCCATCCACTAACGCAAAGAACAAACCATAGTTTAATCTCCCGAGACGTGACTTGGAAAGGGGGGGGAGAGCATCTTTCCCACCTCCGAAACCATGTTTTGGGGGAGTGGTACGGCTTTGAGGTCTGGCTCCGAAAAAGCAGAGGGGGTCGTTAACTGTGATGGTCTGTGGGAAAGACCTCGTGAGATGGAAGGAGGAGCCGCAGACTAGATATCGGTCTGATAAGAGGCCACTGAGCCTTCAAAAGGAAAAGGGGCATAGGAAGCACCTCAAAAGGGACCCTCCCTAGTTTCTTGGGCTGTAAAGAGGAGGAGGAAGAAATATTCTCATGGTCTGAGAGAAGGAAGGGATGCAGTAGGCAATGGTTAGATAACAGGCAGCTGAGCCTTCAAAAGGAAAAGGGACATGGGAAGCATCTCACAAGGGACCCTCCCTAGTTTCTTGGGCTGCAAAAGTGAGGGGGGAAGAGAGGTACTTTCAGACTTGTGAGATTTTGCTCCTGTAATGGGAGATAGGAAGTTAAGCCACAGACTAGATATCAGTCTGATAAGAGGCAGCTGAGCCCTCAGAAGGAAAAGGGGTGTGGGAAGCACCTCAGCAGGGACCCTCCCTAGTTTCTTGGTGTAAAGAGGAGGGGGCAGAAATATTGTCATGGTCTGTGGGAGGACCTTGGGGACAGGAGGAAGAGATGCAGACTAGAAAACGGTTAGATAAGAGGCAGCTGAGCCCCCAGAAGGAAAAGGAGTATGGGAAGCACCTCAGCAGGGACCCTCCCTAGTTTCTGGGGCTGTAAAGAGGAGGGGGCAGAAATATTGTCATGGTCTGTGGGAAGGACCTTGGGAGACAGGAGGAAGAGATGCAGACTAGGCAATGGTTAGATAAGAGGCAGCTGAGCCCCCAGAAGGAAAAGGGGCGTGGGAAGCATCTCAGCAGGGACCCTCCCAAGTTTCTTGAGCTGTAAAGGTCATTAGAAGCTCCTTCCCTGAGTGGTGCGGTGTGGCCTAGAGGTGGAGCTCTGGCCTCACAATCAGGAGGCTGTGAGTTCGATCCTAGGTAGAGGCAAATATTTCTCTCTCTGGGCACAATGAGAATTTATCTGCTGAATAAAATTCCGCACTGGCGACAGGAAAGGCATCCGGCCAGTAAACACTCAGCTCCATTCAGACTCCACCCCGCAAGGGATGACGGGGTCATTAAGAGGAGATGATGATTAGAAGCTCTTTCCCTGTTGAAGGAACTGAGGAATCTACTCAGGAAATATCTCTGAAAGGATGAACCAGTGAGTCACGGGGTTGCTAGTCCTCATTAAATACCGGCACAGTGGCTCGAGTGGCATAATCCGAGTTGCTCCTTCTCCCCTTTGCAAGGGAGACCTCCTCTGGAAGCGGGAGGACTATCACATAACCGGAGCCGTTTCTTGATCCCCGAACACGTCTCCAGGCACACCGACCAAGGGGACCACACCGACCAGCCGCCGTTAGCTGAGACGAGGGAAGACAGAAAGAAGCAGAGGCAATACTGATTGGTGGCGGCTGGTCAGAGACCAATTAAAACAGAACAGGCAGGTAGTCCTCGATTTACGACCACAATGGAACCCAACATTTCTGTTATTATTATTTTTATTCGGACGGCGAAGAAAATGGACTTACTGGGACAAGGCCGCAGGTTGGGGCACCCCTTGAGGTCAGCCGAAGGGCCCAGGCAGCGCATACCGCTCTCCTCGTGGGTGCATTCACGGATGCGCATCTGGTTTTGGATGCCGCAAGTGACGGAGCAGGGGGACCACGGCGACCACGGCGACCAGGTACTCTTGGCTAGGCGGGGAGAGGGGGAAAAAAACCCCCCCACAGATAGTGTTCAACTTCGCTTAGCGACCGTTCCAAGTTACGGCGGCACTGGAAAAAAAGTGAGTTTAAGGCCATTTTTCACCCTTTACGACCGTTTCAAGCACGGTCCCGTGATTTACATCCGGACGGCTTGGAAATGGGTTCACATTTACGACGGCCGCAGTGTCCCGGCCCCCCCTTTCGCGACCTTGCGACGATCAAAGTCAATGGGGATGCCGGTTTCACTTAACAACCGTGTGACGAATTTAACGGCAGGGATTCGCTTAAACAAGCGCGGCGCGGAAAAGCCGTACAACAAATTTCTCACAAATCCGGGGCTCCCTTCGTGGCCCTACTTTGTACCAATAATCCTTGACCTTACGACTATAAGAGAGCCCCGAATTTTGGTTGCTGAGTGAGGCATTTGTGAAGCGAGCTTTGCCCCCCGTTTTACGGCCTTTTTTTTTTGCCATGGTTGTTAAGCGAATCCCTGCAGCTGATCAGCGAGCCACGCGGTTGTTAAGTAAATCCGGCTTTCTCGTGGAGTTTGGAGGTCGCAAAAGGGGATGGCACTGCAACCGTCATAAGTACATGCCAGTTGCCAAGCATCTGCATTTTTGATCACATGACCATGGGAATGCTGCAATGATTGTAAGTCTGAAAAACAATCATAAAAATCACTTTTTTAGTGCTGTCGTAACTTTGAATGGCCTCTCCATGTGCTGTCGTTAACTTGAAGACTAACTGAACATGCTCAGACTTTTTGGCTCTCTTCCAGTGCAAATTTCCCCCACCCTATAGAAATTTACACTTGGGGAGAGGGGTTTACCTGTACAGCGCGAGCCGTCGCCGATGAAGCCGCTCTGGCAGGCACAAACGTAAGAGCCCAGAGTATTCAAACACAACGCGTTTTGGTTGCACTTGTGGGTGCCTCTCGTACATTCGTCGACGTCTGAGAAAGAGAAAAAAAAAAAAATCAGAAATAAAATATAACTTAATATATACTTGATCATTCGTGTAATGACTGCAGCTAGGATTGTATTTGCAGAAAATCGGAAAAAACGAAGAGATCCCTACGGACGAGGATGCGATTAGGAAAATATTAGAATGCGCGGAAATGAATAGGTCAACGCTCGAACTCGAAGAGAAGGAACAACCTGATTATTATAACGTAGGGGAATTATTTTATCCATGGTTAGAGAATAGATATGAAAAGTGGGGGGAAAAAAGCGGAAGAGTGAAATAGAGAAAATGTTTCGACGAAGTTAAACGAGTTAAGAAGAGGATTGTTATTAGTATTAGGTAAGGTATATATTGGTATTAGTATTAAGTATAGAATAGATAAAATGATAAATATGGTTGTAAATTGTAATCGTTATGGTATAAAATATTTGCAGAAAATATATGTTTACACTGTTTAATAGAAGATGATGTTTGAATTAAATTAAAATAAAAGAAATTATTAAAAAAAAAAGAAAAGAAAATATAACAGAAACACTGAAGCGGGCCAAAGAAGAAGAATCTGTTGTCCAAAAATGTCAAAATTGGAACCCACAATCTCATACAGGTAGTGGTCCTAAGACTTACACAAACTCACTAAAACCTCACCGGGCAAGTGAGAAAACGTCTCCCTACCTACGCAGCGGACTAAGCCGTCTCCTTCTAAGCCCCGGGGGCAGCGGCAGAAATACGACCCGTAGGTGTTGGTGCACGTGGCCTCGGACAGGCAGCTCAGGGCTGTTTTCCTCTCACACTCATTGATGTCTTTGGGAGGGGAAAAAGGGAGGAGGAGGAGGGGGGGGGAGGTGGAAAAGAAGAGGGGGAGGAGGAGGAAAAGGAGGAGGAGGAGGTGGAGAGGAGGAGAAGAGGAGGAGGAGGAGAAGGAGAGGAGGAGGAGGAGAAGAAGAAGACGAGGAGGAGGAGGAGAGGAGGAGGAGGAGGAGGAGAAGAGGAGGAGGAAGAGGAAGAGAGGAGGAGGAAGAGGAGGAAGAGAAGGAGAAGAAGAGGAGGAGGAGGAGAAGAGGAGAAGGAGGAGGAAGAAGAGAAGGAGAAGAAGAGGAGGAGGAGAAGAGGAGGAGGAAAAGGAGAGGAAGAAGAGGATGAGGTAGAGGAATAGTGAAAGAGGAGAAGGAGGAGAGAAGGAGGAATGGAGGAGTGGTGGAAAAGGAGGAGGAAGGAAGAAAGAGAAAAGGAAGAAAGAAGAAAGGGAAAAGGAATGGGAGAGAAGGAGGAGGAGAAGTGAAGGAGAAAGGACAAGGAAGGCAGGAAGGAAGAGAGAAAAGGGAAGGAAAGGGAAAGAAAGGGGAAGATGGAATGGGAGGGAAGAAGGAAGGAAGGAAGGAGAGAGAGAGACAAAGAGAAGAAAAATTACACTATTTATTTAAAAAAGGGCTGAATTGTTATCGAAAATCGAGGATAAAGAACTGAATTTGAATTTTTGATATTGATATTGAACATTGATAATATTTTGAATATATTATCATCTTGGAAAGAAGAGAAGAAGGATGTGTCAATGAAGATTCAATCATCCAGGCCACAAGTGTCTTAAAAAGGTTTAAATCATGGCCACTGGACCAGTTGATTTTAACCTTTTAAAGAAAGATATAAGAAGGATAAATGATAATACTACAGCCATACGACATGAATTAAGCATCTGTCCCTCTTTGTCGATCATCCTGCTGCTTTCGATCTGAGAGATTGCTAATCTGGGATCCCTTTTGCTGGAGATTCCACAATCGATTGATTGATTTTTATTTGCTAGGGGGATCCACTTAGCTCGTCCCCGTCATGAATTTCCTATCGTTTTAAATCTCCTTTTCGGTTACAAAACCTACTTCGGTGACCCTCGCTCGGAGCAGATTTCACCATTCTCGCAAATGCTAACGCACAGACCCAGGCGCACATCACAAACGCACAGCTACACCAAGAGACAAAGCTCAAAAGTTACCGACACAATGCACACCCCTGCCTTCGAATCCCGGGTTGCAACGGCAGCTCCTTTCTCCTCGGCTTCCCTCGCAGGTTTTGGTGACGTCTGAAATGGAAGCAACGCGGCTTGTCTGTTCTGGGGGTTTCAAGGGAGCGTCAAATCAGAACGGCACGCTCAAATTAAACCGAGATTTAACACTGGAAGTTTTTAAGAAGAGATTGGATAACCATTTGTCTGGTGTAGGGTATCCTGCCTAAGCAGGGGGTTGGACTAGAAGACCTCCAAGGTCCCTTCCAACTCCGTTATGCTATTCTATTCTATTCTATTCTATTCTATTCTATTCTATTCTATTCTATTCTATTCTATTCTGTTCTGTTCTGTTCTGTTTTCTATCCTATCCTACATTCTATTCTGTTCTATTTACTCTTCTATTATATTTTCTATTATATTTTCTATTCTATTCTATTCTATTCTATTTTCTTTTCTTTTCTATTTTCTATTCTATTCTACATCTTTTCTGCATTCTGTTTTGTTCAGATTCTATTCTATTCTATTCTATTCTATTCTATTCTATTCTATTCTATTCTATTCTATTCTATTCTATTCTATTCTATTCTATTTTGTCTTCTTCTCTTCTCTCCTCTCCTCTCCTCTCCTCTCCTCTTCTCTATGCTGTCCATGAATTAAAAGAGACAGAGAAAAATCCACTACCTTTCTTTATTAAGAAGAGCCTCTCGGCTACCAAAACACGTCCAGGAACCTCCGAATGGAAATCGTAAACCAGGGCTCGGACGTAACCAAAATTGGACTCCCTGCGAGATGGAAAGAGAAAAAAAAAAACAGTAAATATTGGCCAATTCTGAAAGGAAAAAAAAAAAAGAGAGAGAGAGACACATCTGTAAAAAGAAAGTTACAGGTTGCCCTTAACTTAACGACCAGAATTGAGGCCAAAATTCACGTCGCTAAGTGAGACATTGGTTAAAGTGAGTTTTGCCCCCGTTTTACGACCTTCCTTGCCATGGTTGTTAAGTGGACGCTGAATGGCCCCTCCCTGGCTGGGGAACAAATAGAAGGAAAGGGGAGTAGTTGTCGTAGGAGACAACCGTTCGTATTTCTGAAGATTTTGCTCATGGTGTTTCATGCCACAGAGACTGCTTGCCAGATTTTAATTTGCAGCTCACGGCCTGGCAATTATGGCAAGGAACTGATAAGGTCTGTTACTGCAATTAACTCCTTGAAGGACTCTTGCCTGGACTTTTCGGTGGGTGAATGCCATTAATTCACAACAGGTAAATAAAGAGGGGTTTTTCACGACCAGGAGTCTGTTTTTTGCTTCTGCTAAGGCTGGGTCAGAACATAACGCGGTTCTTATTTTACAAGCGGACAGAAAGCAATCCAGCCTACGTTAAACCGCTGATCACCATCTTTTCCACCTCGTCGGCGATGATCACGGCTTGGTCGTCCAGCAAGGTCAGCGGACGCGGTTCCTTGATCCACTGAACGAAGCTGGAAGGCGAGAGGTGAAGGTACTCGGGTAACCGGAGGACCGCTGTATCTCCTTCCAGAAAGGGTCCAACTTCTTTTCCCAAAACAAAAAGAAGAATGGGGGAGGGATGAGGGAAGAGGAGATGCATCCATCAGAAACATGTCAGGGAAAAGGAAGGGGCTAATCCCCTTTTGGAAATGACTCTGGTAAGACGAGAAAGGAAAGAAGGAAATCTTATATATATTATCCTATTCTATATTCTATATTCCATTCTATTCTTCTATTTCTATTCTATTCTTATTTTATTATTATTCTATTCTATTCCAATATCTATTCTATTCTATTCTATTCTATTCTATTCTATTCTATTCTATTCTATTCTATTCCATTCCATTCTCTTATCCTATCCTATCCTATCCTATATTCTATTCTATTCTATTCTATTCTATTCTATTCTATTCTATTCCATTCCATTCCATTCCATTCTCTATCTTATCATCCTATCCTATCCTATCCTATCCTATCCTATCCTATCCTATATTCTATTCTATCCTATCCTATCCTATATTCTATTCTATTCTATTCTATTCTATTCTATTCCATTCCATTCCATTCTCTATCTTATCATCCTATCCTATCCTATCCTATCCTATCCTATCCTATCCTATCCTATCCTATCCTATCCTATCCTATATTCTATCCTATTCTATCCTATTCTATTCTATTCTATTCTATTCTATTCTATTCTATTCTATTCTATTCTATTCTATTCTATTCCATTCCATTCTCTTATCCTATCCTATCCTATCCTATCCTATCCTATCCTATCCTATCCTATCCTATATTCTATATCCTATCTTCTATTCTATTCTATTCTATTCTATTCTATTCTATTCTATTCTATTCTATTCTATTCTATTCTTCTATTCTATTCTATTCTATTCCATTCCATTCCATTCCATTCTCTTATCCTATCCTATCCTATCCTATCCTATCCTATCCTATCCTATCCTATCTTCTATTCTATTCTATTCTATTCTATTCTATTCTATTCTATTCTATTCTATTCTATTCTATTCTATTCCATTCCATTCCATTCCATTCCATTCTCTATCTTATCATCCTATCCTATCCTATCCTATCCTATCCTATCCTATCCTATCCTATCCTATCCTATCCTATCCTATCCTATCCTATCCTATCCTAGTATAGCTGGCACCTGGCTCAATAGAAGTAACTGTGAGTGTGATCTTGGAGTTCTACTGGACAATCCTATTTGAGCCAGCTGTGTGCTGCTGAGGCCCAAAAGGCCAATGCAATCCTAAAATGCATTCACAGAGGGATAGAATCAAGATCGCGTGAAGTGTTGAGACCACTTTACAAGGCCTTGGTAAGGCCACACTTGGAATATTGAATTCAGCTTTGGTCGCCACGATGTAAAAAAAGATGTTGAGACTCCGGAAAGAGTGCAGAGAAGAGCCACAAAGAGGATTCACTGGAGGATAAAACATACGAAGGACGGTTGCTGGAACTGGGTATGTCTAGTTTAATGAAAAGAAGGACCAGAGGTGACATGATAGCATCGTTCCAATATCTCAGGGGCTGCCCCCAAAGAAGAGGGAGTCAAGCGATTCTCCAAAGCACCCGAAGGCAGGACAAGAAGCAATGGGTGGAAACGAATCAAGGAGAGAAGCAACTTAGAACGAAGGAGAAATACCCGTGCATTTATTTTTCCCTGTCTAACCGCAAGACTGTGTTTTTCTCACCACTCACTCCATCTTACCGATCGATGTTCCTTCCAGGGCGAAATAGAATCTCAGTCCCGAAGGGTTTAACAGTTGAAAGCGGCTTAAATCGTAAGCTTCAACTCCCAGAGTTTTTGGGATCAGGGCATGGAGCCTCACTTCTGCCCAGAAAAGATTGGGGTAAAAATCGTCATCCTGTATCGATAGGAGGGTCAGGATACGGCTGCGGTTGCCCACCCTTCTCCTCAGAGTCCTGTCTCCCACCGATCCCAACCGCTGTCGGTAGCTGCAAGGAAGAAAGACGGTCTGTAAAAAGAAAGTTACAGGTTGCCCTTAACTTAACGACCAGAATCGAGGCCAAAATTCACGTCGCTAAGTGAGGCATTGGTTAAAGTCAGTTTTGCCCCCGTTTTACGACCTTCCTTCCGATGGTTGTTAAGTGGATTCCTGCCGTTGTTAAGCCAGTCACGTGATTGTTAAGTGAATCTCGTTCCCCGTTGATTTCGCCTGACAGAAGGGGATCAGGGACAGCGACCGTCATAAATACGGACCACTTGCCAAGCATCTCAATTTTGTTCGTATGATCCTGGGGAGGCTGAGAGTGGGTGCGGTGGCCTAGAGGTGGAGCTCTCGCCTCACAATCAGGAGGCTTGTGAGTTCGATCCTAGGTAGAGGCAGTTATTTCTCTCTCTCTGGGCACAATGAGAAATAGATCTGCTGAACAAAACTCCGCATTGGCAACAGGAAAGGCATCCGGCCAGGAAATACTCAGCTCCATTCGGTTGCCCAGACTCCACCCCGCAAGGGATTATTCTATTCCATTCTCTCCTTTCCTCTCTTCTCCCCTCTTCTTCCTATCTGTCCCTCTACTCCTCTCTCCATTCCCTCTCCGTTGTTGTGTTTCTTTTCAATTCAATATATTTTTAAGATGGTACCCGAACAACCCCGATTCTCTATTTACATACATTTTCCTTTCAATTTCTTTTCTATTTTACTGGTTACGCATATATCATCATTAACGTACATTTATATGATGACACCTTTTTCGTTTTCCCCCTCTTTCCCCCTTTTTCATTTACTCAGAGGTCATCTACGTCTCTATTCCTTTTTTTTTTTGTCTTTTCTCTCATTTACTTTTACCCTATTGTTGTGACTCCGACCCCCCGAGCCTGTCCTAACAGAGGGAGAGGACTCAGAAGGTGAAGGAGAGGATTTGGCAAGGCCTCCCTCTCCAGGACCCTCCTCTCTGGCAATGCCTCAGGTTTCCTCCGAAGGCCAAGAAGAGATATGCCAGGAGCAAGGCACTTCGGAGCAGCCGCAGATAGAGAGCGAAGGGGATGAGTTTTGGCTGGATCCCAGACAGCGTCGGAAGGATAAGCGCGCGCGGCAGAGAAAGAGGCCAGAGATTGAGCTGAGTCACTGGACCACACCCCACAAGGGATAAAAGGGGGTTGTGTCGGCTATTTAGGCATTGTGACGGACAAATTGAAAAGCTCGGAAGTCATATCGTGTTTCTAGAACCCTGTTAGAATCTCTTTTTGGATTTCTTCGGACTGGACTTTGACAATTCTTTGCTTTGTGGAATTAATTTGGTTACCGGACTGAGGAGAAAAAACCTCCCTTAGTGAGTAAAATCTCTTGGCAGGCAGTTCATGGTTCGCTGCCAAGACTGTTATCTTAAAGGAATTCCTGACTGTTTGATTTGTTAACTCCTGGCTGTCTGTTTGTGTGTGTGCGTGCGACGGGGACAGAACACCTATCCAATTTGTTAATCTCTAATCTGCGGACTATCTGTGCCTTGAGAATTTCCTAGGAAATGCCCAATATATACCCATCATCTCTTTACCATCTCGAACGGGCCGGGCGGGTTAAGAAACCTGTTCTTCGCGGCCTCGCCCAGCAACCTTACCTGTGGAACTGCGGGCTCTGTCCCGTGTAAAACTTGTACCAGATCACGCTGGGCGAACGTCGGTTGGCGGAAGCCGAGACGGAGACGTGGAAAGTGACGCGTGGCTCTTTCACGTGGAGGAGACACACCTGCTCGCCCATCTCGTCACAAACGGAAGCGTCGGAAACGGTGATGTGGAAGGCAGGGGCTGCAAACAAGCAAAGGGAAATTTTGGAATTCTTTAAGAAGAAGAAGCAAGCAAGCAAACCAAATTCTGAACGTTTTCAGCACGCTGGATATTTGTTCGTCCCTTTTCTTTACCTTGCCTTGTGGAAAGGGACACTACTAATAATCCCACTTGGCCAAATAAAATATTCAATAATCCAGGAGTTGTTCTCAAGGGGGACAATAGAAACATAGAATCCTTGTGCTGGAAGGGTCCTCGGAGGTCTTCCAGTTGAACCCACTGCCCAAGACAGGAGACCTTATACCATCCTAGACAAAAACAATGTCCTTTGCTTCCTCCAGTCTCAAGCAGGTTATTTTAAAAGGTTTAAAAGAGTACAAATAGATGCCAATTTTTTTTCTTCTTCTTTCTCCATCAAGCCCAGAAATAGTCCCAAGGAGGCCAGTTTAAAAAAATTTTTAAAAGTACAAATAAATGCCAATCAATCTTTCTTTCTTTCTTCCTTTCTTTCTTTTTCTTTCTTTCTTCTTTCTTTCCTTTTTCTTTCTCTCTCTATATATATATCTCTTTCTTTCACTCTTTCTTTCTTTCTTTCTCTCTCTTTCTTTCTACCTTTCTCCGTCAAGCCCAGAAATAGTGCCAAGCAGGCTAGTTTAAAAATTTTTTTAAAGTACAAATAGATACTATTTTTTTCTTTTTTTCTTCTTTTTCTTTCTCTCTCTCTTTCTCTCTCTCTCTCTCTTTCTTTCTCGCTCTTTCTCTCTCTCTCTTTCTTTCTCCATCAAGTCCAGAAATAGTCCCAAGCAGGCTATAAAGCAGGCATTTTTTTTACTTTAAAAAAAAAATGTAAAAGTATAAATAGATGCCAATATTTTCTTTTTCTTTTTTCTTTCCTTCCTTCCTTCCTTCCTTTTTCTTTCCTTCCTTCCTTCCTTCCTTCCTTCTCTTTCTTTCTTTTTCTTTCTTTCCTTCCTGCCTTCCTTCCTTTCTCTCTCTCTCTTCTTTTTTCTTCTTTCTCGGTCAACCCAAGAACGAATTCCCTGAATCCTCCCACCAGCATAATTAATTCCCAACCGTGAGGTGGTGGGCTCCGTCCGTATCCCAGAATTCCACCGGGCGTTGAGGAGAATGCTGGGAGTCGAAGTCCCCACCCCTTGGAAGCTGCTGAGGTCACCTAAAAGGACCTCAGGTGGAAGAAAGACGTTGAGTGGGACTTGCCTTGGCAAAGACTGATCCCGTCTCCATCGTAACCTGGCAAGCAACGGCAATAAAACTCCGAAGAAAGCTCGTCCAGTTGGCAAATCGCTTTTGGGTGGCATGGCATCTTCCGGAGGACGCATTCGGGTTTATATGGATCTAAGGAGGAGAAGAGAAACAATAGAGGGGGGGGGATAACCACTACTACACAGGCAGTCCTCGACTTACAAGAGTTAATTTAGTGACCATAGTTACAACGGCACTGAAAAAAGTGATTTAAGGCTATTTTTCACACTTACGACCATTGGGGCACCCCCCACCCCACAGTCACGTGATCCAAATTCAAACGCTTTTGAATTTTGCAAGCGACTCATAGTTACGACAGTGTCAGTGTCCCCAGAGTCGCGAGATTTCCCTTTTGCGACCTTCGGACCGGGAAGCCAGATTTTCTTAACTCATCATCATCATTTAACAACACCATAATCCCTTGCGGGGTGGAGTCTGGGCAACTGAATGGAGCTAGCAGAGTGTTTTAATGGCCGGATGCCTTTCCTGTCGCCAATGCGGAGTTTTGTTCGGCAGATATATTCTCATTGTGCCCAGAGAGAGAAATATCTGCCTCTACCTAGGATCGAACTCACAGCCTCCTGATTGTGAGGCAAGAGCTCCACCTCTTAGGCCAACGCACCACTCATTCTCTTAACAACTGTGTTCCTAAATTAACAGCTGCAATGATTCGCTTAACAGCCGTGGCAAGGAAGGCAGTAAAATGGAGCAAAACTCGCTGAACCAATGTCTCGCTTAGCAACATACATTCTGGGCTCCATTGCGGTCGTAAACCGAGGACTAGCTGTCCTCCATCAATGATACACTAATGTTCAGCTTCGGGGCGGAGATCCTGCCTGAACAATTCACATTAGCCTCTTATGCCCCATTTACTGAGTATTCTGTGAATAATAATAATAATTAATAATAATAATAATAATAATAATAATAATAATAATAATAGATAATGATGATGATGATGGCAGCAGCCTGTATCAGCCATTAGCACCAGTCAATGGTATTTGTGATGCATTTTTGAATGTTCAGTTGATTGAGCTTCATGTTTAATGAATAAAGTAAATATAATAATAATAATAATAATAATAATAATAATAATAATAATATCAACCCCTATCAACCATTAGCACCAGTCAATGGTATTTGTGATGCATTTTTGAATGTTCAGTTGACTGAGTTTCATGTTTAATGAATAAAGTAAATAAATAAATAAATAAATAAATAATGATAATGATAATAATAATAATAATAATAATAATAATAATAATAATAATAATAATAGCCTTTATTGTCATTGTACATCATGTATACAGCGAAACTGGTTTAGCCTCTACTGGTGCAACCCATGAACAGAAAATATAAAATACATTTATGATGTGTGTTATTCTGTATTCTATTTTCCCACATCAAATTAGGGTCAAAGAACGACATCACTAGAAATTCATGCTCATTTATTTTATTGATTGAGTGTTTTATCCTGCCTTTATTACTGTCTAAGTAACTCAAGGCACCTGTATTATTTTTAAACCAGCCATTTGAGGGGGGAAATTAAAAGAGTCCGATGTGCTTTAAAAGAGGGGGTGGGGGGGGAAATATAACGCAGGAAATTGGAGACGAGAGGGCTCCGAATTCTTAGGTCCGTCAAAGCAACTCACCGTGAATCAGATTTTTACCCTGCAGGGTGGAGAGGATGATGAAGAGGAGAGGGGAAGGCAGGAAACTCTTCTGCATTTTGATCGAGGGGGGCGGTGTCTCTTTTTCCCGCCAACCTCTCATCCTTCGGTCTAAGTACGCGAGCGAATCATCAGCCCCGCGTCCATCTGTGTCCGGTCGGAACGCGCGTGGCTCCGGACGGAGTCGGCATTCAAAGAACCAGGAGAGTCCGTTTCATTTCAAACCCTTCTGAAAATTCCAGTTCTGGATTCTAGCCAACACCCCCCCCCCCCCAAGAGATTTCATCCTCTTCCAAAGTGGCATCGTGGGGGGAGAAAAAAAGCCCAGAAGATGGGATGGCCAAAGAGACCTGGATGAAAAAGCGTCCGACGACTGGCTAGAGATTCCCAATGGAAATTGAATCCTTGCCGCGTTTTCCCGGCGCGAGGCCGAAATGAAGAGTTTGAAGATGTGGGCGGAACAAGGATGAAGATATGCGCAGCTTCCTTGCTTTGGCAAAATATCCACCGGTCAACGAAACCCAAAAAAATTTGATTTGGTGAGGTTGATGTAGGAGATGACTAGGCTGAGGCCGAAGGAGGGAGGGAGGGAGGGAGGAGTCAAGGGCGTCATCGGTCTTGAGTCATCTTTGCAACCACAAGACTCCAGTCTGCCTTAAATTATGTTCGCTCTTATCTACTACCAATTTGCTCTGGAGTATAGTTGGACCTCCCTCTTTTCTGTGGCAGATATTGGAAGACTGCTATCATGTCCCCCCTTAGTCTTTCTTGTCAAAGTTAGAATATTTTGGACAGGTGATGCGACACCCAGAAAAATACGGCATACTTCACTTAATCACCGCCTTGAGTCCTACGGGAGAAAGGCGGTATAGAAATATAATAAATAAATAAATAAATCCTCCAAGGAAAGATTGAAGGCGAACGAGGAGGTCCAGGCAGAAGAAGAAGATCATGGCTTCAAAAATCAAAGGAACCAGCTTGGACAAAACTCAAAAGCACTTTTTTTGTGCAGCTGTTGATAAAAATAGGCTCGCGCAACATGATCGCCAACATCCGATGACGGATACGGCACAAGAAGAAGCAGAAGGTATTCCCAAATCCTGCAGCCGTTCTTCGTATGTTTTACTTCAATCATCTTTGTTGCTCTATTTCGCCCTTTTTTCCAAAGTCTCAACATCTTTCTTGTAATACGGGGGACCAAAACTGGATGCAGTATTCCAGGTGCGGCCTTATTAAGGCTTTATAAATCAGTGCCAATACTTCAACTAGTAATCATACTAATTACAATGAATAATCATACTAATGCACAAGAAAAAAGGGGGGAAAAAACATGAGTGCCATCGTTTAATTGGAGACAAGAAAAGGAACAGCTCGGGAGCAGAATAAGAAAGTCGAGAGATGTTATTTGGGGGGGGGGGTTAAAAAAAGGGGGGGTTTATTATTTCCCTCCGGCTTTTTTCTTATGAGTCGGCGGTGGGGCAGGCTCGGAGCTGAGCGACGGGACCTTGACGCCTTTCTGCTTCAGCATTTGGTGGAAGTCGAGACGGTCGGTTATGATTTTCTGAAAGACAGTGCCGTCCGTCAGGAAGGGGAGGGGGCAGCCTCACCAGGCCAGGGGTCTCCCCCTTCCTCACCCCACTCTGCCTTTCCACCATCCCAACTACTCCAGGTTACCTGCAAGGCCTCTAAAATCTCTTCGTCTGCGATTTCTGCCTGCGGGGACTTGGTGCCGGGGGTGCTGTAAGCGGCTTGGATAATTTTGCTGCGGAACCTTTCAAACTTTCGAAGAAAGAGAAAGAAAAGAAGAGAAGAGAATAATATGAGTTGGAAGGGACCTTGGAGGTCTTCTAGTCCAACCCCCTGCTTAGGCAGGAAACCCTACACCACTTCAGTCAAATGGTTATCCAACCTCTTCTTAAAAACTTCCAGTGTTGGAGCATTCACAACTTCTGGTGGCAAGTAGTTCCACGGATTAATTGTTCTAACAGTCAGTAAATTTCTCCTAAATTCTAAGTTGCTTCTCTCCTTGATTAGTCTCCATCCGTTGCTTCTTGTCCTGCCCTCAGATGCTTTAGAGAATAGCTTGACTCCCTCTTCTTTGGGGGCAGCCCCTGAGATATCGGAAGACTGCTAACAGAACAATTCAAACTCAGACCACACGTCTTCTGAATAGTTTTTAATCCCAGAGCTATAGTTGCACTCAACAATGAACTAAAGGGCCCACCATCAGTGAGCTGTTGGACAGCATTACTTGGTTTCTTGTGTGGATGTTTGGGTGGTTTAGGGGTGGGGGATTTTCGGTGGGTGGGTGGGGGGTGTTTGGGGATCATCATGTGTGTTGGGCTTGTTCTCTGGGTGTTACGTGAATTTCGTTGTATGGGTATACTATGGATATACGTACAATGACAATAAACTTTATATATATATCATGTCTCCCCTAGTCCTTCTTTTCATCATACTAGCCATACCCAATTCCTGAAATTGTTCTTCATATATTTTAGCCTCCAGTCCCCTAATCATCTTTGTTGCTCTTCTCTGCACTCTTTCCAGTCTCAACATCTTTTTTAGAGGGAAGCATGAAGCTGGAGGAACGTAGAATGGGAGGAATGAGGCAGCTGCTAGTGGTTTCCTAAGATTTGATGTTTGGTTCCCAGCTGCCCTGCGAGGTAGACCACATTAGAGCCCCAAGGTCATGCCAGGCTAACGCTATTTTTATTACAAGGATACAGTACAGGTACCATGTTTCGCCGAAAATCAGACCCTGTCTTATATTTTTTTGAACCCTGAAATAAGCGCTTGGCCTTATTGCCATGCGCTCAAAAGCCCGATTGGGCTTATTATCAGGGGATAATGTCTTATTTTGGGGGAAACAGGGTAGTTCTCGGCTTGCAACATTTAGTGGCCGTTTGAAGTTACAACGGCACTGAAAAAAAATGACTGGGTTTTTTCTGCAATACCCCGCTGGCTCATAGTTAAGTGATTGTTACTAAGACACCTAGGAAGCAGTTACTGCTCTTGAGCCAGGTATCTTGAGTCCTTGGCTTATAGCAGTTCATTTAGTGACCGTTCGAAGTCCCCGTGGACACGTGATCAAAATTCGGACGCTCGGCAAACCGGTTCCTATTTATGAGGGTCGCACTGTCCCCCCCCCCCCGGGGGTCCCCGGTTTCCGCTTTCACGACCGTCCGACCAAGCGAAGTCAATGAGGGAAGCCGGATTCATTTAACGACCGCGTTCCCAAGCTTACCCGGGCGCTGACGCTCTCCAGGGTGACTCTGGTCTGCTGTTCCGCCCGTTGCAAAATCTCCAGCTGCTTCTGGAGTTCATCCTGGCTGCTCAGCTGCTTCCCAGCCCGATGCTGGTTCACCAGTAACTCGGAGTGAAGCTGCTGGACGTTGGTTTGCAAAGTGTGGATGGCCTGGTCTCTGTCTGCCAGCTGGACTTCCAGCTTGGTCACCTCCTGGGCAGGAAGGAAGGGGGGGGGAAAGGGGCAAAATTATAGAGAATCCAGACACTTTGGGGGGTGTAAGAATAAGGGATAGAATAGAATAGAATAGAATAGAATAGAATAGAATAGAATAGAATAGAATAGAAGGGAAGGGAATAGAAATAGAAGGGAATAGGAATAGGAATAGGAATAGAATAGAATAGGAACAGAATAGAATAGAATAGAATAGAATGGAATGGAATAGGATTAGAGTAGCATAAGGGATAGAATGAAATAGAAATAGAAGGGAATAGGAATAGGAATAGAAGGGAATAGGGATAGGGATAGGGATAGGGATAGGGATAGAACCGAACAGAACAGAATCTGTAAAGGGGTGCTGAGAATTGTACTTTCAAATCTGCAACCTTCAGCCAACGTAGATTTATAGCAAAGTAAAAAACTGGTAGTTTCAATTCCTGTCTGGATTATCCCACAAGGCCTTGAGGGTCTCGTCCACACAGTTTCCCATAGGGAAACTGTGTGTATGTGTGTATATGTGTGTGTGTGTGTGTGTGTGTGTGTGTGTGTGTGTGCGTCCGAACTGCCGACCTTTCGATCGGCAAGCCCAGCGTCTTAGCCCCTGAGCCATTGAATTGACAGACCAGCCCATTCTGTCGAATGGTTTACACCCAACCCAGAGCAGAAATCCACAGATAAGAGATCCAAGGAAGGGGAGAGGGGGGGAGGTTCCCTTACCTGTCGGAGTTTGCAATTCTCTCTCTCGATGGTGCCCATCATTTCTTCATGTTTCCTCTCCTCCCGCAAGTTGGAAAACTAAGAAGGGAAGGCGGAAGCGGTGAAAAGCTCCCGCGCTGGGGATTTCCAACAAGCAATCTTCAACAATCATTCCAACAAGCAATCGTTTTTTTTAAAAAGGAACGCACAAAAACGAGAATCCGTGGGATTCTTGCCCCCCCCCCAACCAAATTAGTTAGCAGAATGCTGCAGCTGGCCCATCCATCACATTTTTCCTTCCTTCCTTCCTTCCCATCCATCACATCTTTCTTTCCTTCCTTCCTTCCTTCCTTTCCTTCCTTCCTCCCTCCCTTCCTTCACATCCATCACATCTTTCCATCCTTCCTTCCATCTTTCCCATCCATCACATTTTTCCTTCCTTCCTTCCTTCCTTCCTTCCTATCCATCACATCTTTCCTTCCTTCCTTCCTTCCTTCCCATCACATCTTTCCTTCCTTCCTTCCCATCCATCACAACTTTCTTTCCTTCCTTCCTTCCCTCCCTCCCTCACTTCCCATCCATCACATCTTCCCTTCCTTCCTTCCTTCCTTCCTTCCTTCCTTCCCTTCCTTCCTCTCTCCCTTCCTCCCTCCCTCCCCATCCATCACATCTTCCCTTCCTTCCTTCCTTCCTTCCTTCCTTCCTTCCTTCCTTCCTTCCTTCCTTCCTTCCTCTCTCCCTTCCTCCCTCCCTCCCCATCCATCACATCTTCCCTTCCTTCCTTCCTTGCTGAGAGCAGAGTCCGAATGCCGACCCTGTAAAATCCATTTTTCTCGACCGTCCTGCTGCCTAAGCCCGTTGACCGACCTTATTCGACATGGCCTCCAGCTGTTCGCCTCGTTCCCGGAGTTCCTTCTGCAAAGATTCTTTCTCCACCTCAGCTTTCCGGAGTTGGGATTCCCCGAAGGACAACTCTCGTTGCAGGGATGAAATCGCGCCTGGAGAAACAAGCGGGAGGGCAGCAGGGCACTCTACTACTCTATACTCTACTCTATTACTCTACCATTCTACTCTACTACTCTACTTTACTCTATTAATTCTATTCTATTTCCAATTCCAATTCTTCTATTCTATTCTATTCTATTCTATTCTATTCTATTCTATTCTATTCTATTCTATTCTATTCTATTTCTTTTCATTTCTATTCTATTCTATTCTATTTATTTCTATTTCTATTTCTATTTCTATTTCTATTTCTATTTCTATTATTTCTATTTCTATTTCTATTTCTATTTCTATTTCTACTCTACTCTACTCTACTCTACTCTACTCTACTCTACTCTACTCTCTACTACTGTACTCTACTCTACTCTATCTACTCTACTCCTACTCTACTCTACTCTCGCCTACTCTACTCCTATATTTCCACCCTTCTTGGGTTCTCTGTGAGGACCCCAGGGGTACCGCTAGCCAGCTCGTACTCGTTCTCGCGCTTTCTCAGCCTCTTCGTAGAGGATTTCTGTTTTTGTGCTGTCAGAAGTGCTTGTCATCAAGGTGTTATCCGAGTCTTCCAGATCGCTCGCTTTCGTCCTTCCTCGCACTTTGGATTCGCTCTAGCTGCTCTCTCTCTCACCAGGCTCTCCAGGCGGTCGTGGGGGGTAAGTGGTGTGTGTTGTGTGTTGTGTTGTTGTTTCCTTTGTGATGAAAATGTGTTGTGTTGTGTTGTTATACGGACTTGGAAGGGAAAGGGGAAATCCCATTGTCTTTCTGATGCTTCAAGACAGCGGAAGGCAACGCGGTAACTTTATTCGCTCTTGCGAATGCGGGCAGGGCTTGTCTTACGGCCGCGAGCGAGCCCGAAGCCTTAGTGTTGCTAAGCGAGGCGGCCGTTAAGTGAGCTTTGCCCTCTTTTACGACCTTTCTTGCCAGGGTCGTTCAAGGGAATCGCTAAGGTTGGTAAGTTAACTCGTGGATTCCCCCGTTGATTTCGCTCGTCGGAAGATCGCAAAAGGGGGATGGCGTGACCCCGGGACGCGGCGACGGTCGTAAACACGAGTCCGTTGCCAAGCACGGGGAAGTTTGGTCACATGACTGTGTGGGGAGGCCGCGACGGTCGCAAGTGTGAAAAAACGGCCCTCAGTCACTTTTTTCAGTGCCTTTGTCACTCCGAACGGTCGCTAAGCAAAAATCGAGAGCTATCTGTAAGGCATGTTTTTTGGCACCGCAGGAAGTCCTTGGCTTACGACAGTTCATTGAGCGACCAAAGTCAAAATGGCAATGAAAAAAGCGACTTAGGACTTAGGTTTTTCACGCTTTTACGACCGTCGTAGCGTCCCCCCGGTCACACGATCAAAATCCCCAAGCTTGGCAACGGACTCGTATTTACGACGCCCGCCGTGTCCTGGGGTCACGTGACCCCTTTTGCAACCTTCCCCAACCGGCAAACTCAATGGGGAAAAGCCAGTTTTGCTTAAGGACTGTGTTCCTGACTTAACAGCTGCTGTTGATTCGCTCCGAAAGCTCGTCGAATGAGGTAAAATTCACAGAACGCACGTCTCAACTTAGCCACAAAGGTTTGGGGCTCCACTGCGGTCCTAAGTCGAGGACTTCCCACGGACAAGTTGTGATTTTCTCTACGGGCGGCCCTCAACTTAACAACAGTCTGTTCAGTGGCCATTCGCTAAAATTTGGATAAAATATAGGATAAAATAGAAAATAGAGAAGAGAAGAGAAAGGAAGGGAAGAAAAGAGAAGAGAAGGAAGAGAGGAGAGAGTAGAGTAGAGTAGAATAGAATAGAATATAGAATAATACAATTTGGAATAGAATAAAGTTAGAGTAGAGTAGAGTAGAGTAGAGTAGAGTAGAGTAGAGTAGAGTAGAGTAGAATAGATAATATGGAAGGGGAGAGGAGAGGAGAGGAGAGGAGAGGAGAGGAGAGGAGAGGAGAGGAGAGAAGAGAAGAGAAGAGAAGAGAAGAGAAGAGAAGAGAAGAGAAGAGAAGAGAAGAGAAGAGAATCCACTGTGGTCGTTAAGTCGAGGACTAGCCTGTATTCCTGTCCCGTCCAGGCATTTCTCCGGATCTTTTACCAACCCCGTTTTTTTGGGGCCTTCCTACCTCCTTCTCGAAGTGGTCCAGATCCCCCTGCTCTTTTAAGAGCTCTTTCTTCACAAGCAGCGCTTTCGAATCCAGCGCCTGCTCCGACCGGCTCAGCAGCTCTTTCAGGCGCTCGAAATCTTGACTCGAGTCTTCCGAAAGGTCGACCTGGTCCACGTAGACCGAGGGAATGCTCTTCTGCCCGAGGTCGGACGATGGGCAGACCCCATGCGTGGACAGCTGGGTCAGGTCCCATTCGGACGAAGGCTCCGCTTTGGCACGCTTCTGGGAAGGAGATTTCGAAAGCAAAACCTGATGGAGGAGGCGGGGGGGGGGGGGGGGGGGGGGGGGGGAGGGGTGTTTCTGCAGTTGTTCTCCAATTCTGAAGGTTTGGGTTTGGCAGGAGGTAACGTGGGTAATCCTCAATTTACGACGGTAAGGAGCTTGCCCATGATGGCCATAAATTGAGGATTAGCTGCGTTGCCTTCAACGCATTTTTCTCTATTCTATTGCTATTCTGTTTTTATTTTCTACTTTATTCTATTCTATTCTATTCCATTCCATTCCATTTTCTATTCTATTCCATTTTCTATTCCGTATTCCATTCCTTCTATTCTATTCTATTCTATTCTATTCTATTCTATTCTATTCTATTCTTTTCTTTTCTTTTCTTTTCTTTTCTTTTCTTTTCTTTTCTTTTCTTTTCTTTTCTTTTCTTATTCTTATTCTTATTCTTATTCTATAAAACTTTGAGGCTTTAGGGGGAGGGGGAACCAGGTTCCGGCAGCGATCAAGACTCGAGACAAGCCTGGGAAGCAAAGAAAAGAGAGCGAAGTTACCTCTTCCGAAGTTCTCCCTAAAATAGAGGCCTGCCATTTCAGGAGCTGCTCCAGCTGTTTGTGCATTGCCTGGACCTCTTCCCGCAGAACGGCGATCACGCCGTCCTTCCGGATACACTCGGCTTCAAAAGGAGCCAGGCGGGTAATCTCTTCCTCCAGCCTATTAAGACTCAGATCCTGGGAAGGGAACAAAAATTCCTTTTAGCCCAACATCCCCACGATAAAATACCCCCTTCCAGATTTTCTATTCTAGACCTCCATGGGACTCGCAAGCAAACAGCACCTGCCTGTTGTTCCACCTCGACCACACCTAGAGTCCTGCATCCAGTTTTGGTCACCACACTATAAAAAAAGATGTGCAGACTCTAGAAAGAGTGCAGAGAAGAGCAACTAGGACGATGAGGGGACTGGAGGCTCAAAGATACGATGAACTGTTGCAGGAACTGGGCATGGCTAGTCTAGTGAAGAGAAGGAGAGACAGGATAGCATCTTCCAATATTTGAGGGGCTGCCACAGAGAGGAGGGGGGGTCAACCTATTCTCCAAAGCACCCGAAGGCCAGACAAGGAATGATGGATGGAAACTGACCAAGGAGAGATTCAACCTGGAAATACGGAGAAGTTTTCTGACAGTGAGAACAATCAATTGACAGAACAGAAGTTGCCTTCGGAAGTTGTGGGAGCTTCATCCCTGGAGGATTTCAAGAAGAGGCTGGACTGCCATCGGTCAAAAATGGTGTAGGTCTCCTGCTTGGGACGGGGGGTTGGACTAGATGACCTACAAGGTCCCATCCGACTCGGTTCATCTGTTAATCTGCAATCTGTTCCTTGCAAACTGCTCCCTTCAGCCCCTTTTCTGACCGCTCGCCCCACATCAAATTGCAAGATGTTATTAAACTTTTGCAAGTCGGAAAAAGGAGCCGCGAACTCCTTTTGGGCAAACCTGACTCTCTTCTTATCACGTCCCGAAAAAAATCTCTGGCCAAACTCTCTTCCGCCCTCGTTCCTTGCGGGTTCGAATCCTCACCTTCTCATGAAGCACGGGGATGTACCAGGGCATCCGGTTCCCGGAGCGGGCTTTAAGCTGGCCTGGGGGGACCATGCCTTCTGTGAAGCTCTTCCATTTGGGCAACACAATCTCCGAGGAGGAAGAGGGATAAACTGGGAAGAGAAATGTCACTCAAAGACAACCCAAAGAGGACAGTCTGCACCCCAAGGGCTGCTGGGTTTCCCCCCCCCTTTTTTGGGGGGGATGTGGGGGGAACAGAGGCTGGCCTATAGAAGAGATTCTTTGTAGTTCAGGGTTGAAACAGAGGAGGAGGAGGAGGAGAAGAAGAAGGAGAAGAATTGTGGGGTCCTTGGTTAAACTTCGCACCTTTCAAGGTTGACCAAAGTGCCATTCCTGCTATAAACCTCTTCTGTTTTGTGGGGAGGGTGATGTAATTGAATCCAGACAAAGAAACTTACATCTGATGCGACTCCTTGAGTCCCAAACGTCGGGATTTTGGATCAGGGAATTCCAGTCGTCCATGGATATCTGGGAAGTCAGGCTCATGGTGCTGAGGTTGGTAGGGAGATCCCCAAATCTGGAAATGCTGCTCACTGGTGGGGAGAGGAATGGGGTGAGGTGGGGACAGCAAGCAGAGAATTCAACGCTGACTCCTTCACGTCTGGGGTGGCGCGAAGACTCCTGCCTTGGGGTCGGGGGTTAGACTAGAAGACCTCCGAGGTCCCTTCCGGGACTGGGATTCTGTGCTATTCTATGATAAGAGGACTGAAGCTTGAATAATGTGGATCCACATCGCGCTATGCAGCTGTTTGCATTAGCACGAAACATGAACAGATAATTCTGGATTTACAACCACCCGTTTAGTGGCCGTTCGAAGCTTACAGCAGCACTCTAAAAAGGACCGTTTTTCACACTTAACGACCGTCGCAGCGTCCCCGGGGTTACGTGATCCAAATTCAGACTCTCGGCAACCGGCTCGTATTTATGACGGTCGCAGTGTCTCAGGGTGGGGTGGGGGGGTCACATGATCCCCTTTTCCGATAAGCAAAGTCAACGGGGTGGGGAGGGAGCCAGATTCACTTAACAACCGTGTGACTCACTTAACGGCTGCAGGGATTCCCCAGGAAGGCCGTTGAACGGGGCAAGAAGTTCGTTTCAACGACCGTTTCTGGCCCGGCGACGGAACTTTGGGGTGGGGTCGTTAAATCGAGGAATTACCTGCAAAGTGCAATTTCACCGACCGCCCAACCAAGCCGGAGTGGGCAACAGGGAGGCCGAGCAAGTGACAAAATGGACCTGCCAATTGTTGAGTCTTTACCAAGGAGCGGTGCTGATGTCGCCTGGTTGCAATACTGAGGACATCCGGGCCGTTTCAAGAAGCATTTCTGCAGCAACGATGAATCGGAAAAATCACTTGGTATATTGGACATCTTCCTTTGTTCCTCGGCCTGGGAGACGAGAGAAAGTTAGAGTCAACGCCTTCTGGTTTATCGGGATTTTATTTTATTGATTTTATTGATTTGTCAAGCGTGTATAAGGTAACAGAAATAAGTATAAACACGATTATGAATACAGGAAATGGATACGGATAAACGGGGGACAGTAGGACAGGGACAGTAGGTAGGTTGGTGGGCTTATGCCCAAACCCAAACCCGTTACAGACCTTTTACAAATGGGGTGAGGTCAACAGTAGACGGTCTACGGTTAAAGTCTCAGCTCAACCGTGGCCGTCAGCCGAGGACTACCTGTATTAATAGCTTTTCCAAATATTAGCACGACTAATGATCCTTTTGCAAGCTGACCAGTCGAGCCGTTGCATACCTATAATATAATATATTATATTATAATAATAAATAAATACCTGTTTCTCATAGTAACGTCTGACAGCGTGAAACGCTTTACTGGGATGAATTTTGTCACTGCCTGGATGATTCCACAGAAGCGTCTGTTGGGGGGAACTCGTCTTCCGCAACTCGCCGATCCCCTTCGTCATTAAGGTAAGATTTTTCTCCATGAATGCAGAAACCTCGTCCTCTCTTCCACCTAAAAAGCCCTGGAAATTTTTTTTTTTAAAAAATCAAGTTTTAAAAAATTATCGTGCCCCATCAAGATGTTGTCGACTCCATCCCAGATTTTTTTAAAAAAACAAACAAACAAACAATCCAGGACCTGGTTTGAAAGGGGGGAAATAAAGAGATGATCCCTCTGGCTGTATTTATTTCATTTCTTTAAAAAGAAATAACTATGGCTTTCCATCTGCAATTGAATGGCTAGCCATATTGGGGTGGGGGAAAAAAAAGCAAGAACATAAAACCATCACCCAGAAAATATCTACGTTAGAAGGAAAAGGCTGGGCAAAACATCGCCCAAGATTAAAAGCTAACATTCCTGTATTTTTTATTCCTTGTGCCAGTGACATAGTTTGAGTCACAGGCCTTGCTCAACACTCATTTCAATTTAATTCAATTTATATGCCGCCCCTCTCCGAAGACTCAGGGCGGCTCATGGTTTAAGGGAGCCCATGGCTAAGCCATCTTCGGGCCAGCCCTTCTCTCAGACCAGCCCACCTCACAGGGATGTTGTTGTGGAGCAAATAGGAGGAGGAAGGAGCATTATGGATGTTTGCTGAGACAAATGAGATTATAATCAGCAAACATCCATATGTTCCAATATGTACATTATATCTATGTATATCTACGTATGTATCTATGTATATCATATCTATCTATATCTATCTATCTAATCTATCATATCTATATCTAATCTATCTATCATATCTATCGTATCATTCTAACCTATCTACCATATCTATCTATCTATCTATCTATCTATCTATCTATCTATCATAAATAGCTATCTGATATTAAATATATATCATTCACATATTATTATATAAAGTAATAATTATAGTAGTAGAAGTAGAGGAGTCAAAAATTCAGGATTGGTAGCCAGGCTGAGCTCTTCTTCCTTTCTGGTGGCTTGAGCAGAGAGTAATCCTTGGGTTTGCCAGGCTGGGGCTGATGGGGATGGTAGTCCATATAGTCTGCAACAGGTTGGAGGAATCCAGCTTACCTGCCTGAAAATAAACACACGGAGTAATGTCTCATACACTCATGTCAATAAACCACCATGACAGACTGGACGGCTAAATTAACCCACTTTTGAGACCCTCATTGTGATTCACATTGGTGCAACAACAGACTAACTAGGTTTATAAGTAACCTGGTTAAGGCCAAGGAAGTTTGGTTGTTTTTTTTGGGGGGGGGGGATATTATTGTTTATAACAACAACTCAAATTGTTGGGTCCTGGGATCGGTCCCCCAAGCCAATTTTGGGGCCAAAAAGAAACTTCTTCAATTTAAGGCTCAGCTATAAATGAGGGAAATTAAAAGCGTCCACTTCTATTACAAAGGAACCTAAAATCTCCATCTCGTAACCCAAAATTTCCCCTCAGTTCCTCAATGAGGACTAGCTACATGCTGCAGCAGGGTTTATGAGCACGTGACCAAATCCCTCCTCCTCCTCCTCCCCCCTCCCTCCAGGAGGTTCAGGAAAGAAGGGAGGGCGGGGTTTATGGGCACGGAGAACAGAGGGGCGTGGCCAGTTGACAGAGGCGGGGCCAGATAAGACGTTTGTGGGTGAGTGGGGAGGTTTCTTACGTTCGCTCCCCTCGGACCCTTCGCCGCTTTAGGCCCGGGGGTCGCTCAACGGCTCTCGGGCCTCCTTTTTCAGGTAGGCCAGCCTCGGTTGCTTAGCAACGCGAGGGTGGAAAACTCGACGCGCGGTGCGATGACGTCAGCACCTGCGACACCCGGGAGGGCGCGCATGCGTGATCGAGGGTAGACGGGACGAGAAAGGGCACCTCCGCACGGGCGATCTGATTGGGGCGGTTCGGATTCCGGACTCCGCGCATGCGCCTGAGGGTTGCTCTGGATCAGCGTGGATTTTTGGATCTGGGGTGCTTGCGGGAGGGATCTTAAAAGGATCGCTTTTTCCGGGCTACTGAGTGGGGGATCGCGGCTGGGAATCCCGTCCTTGCAGGTAAGGCAGAAAATCACCAGGTGCAGCTTATTCATTTCTCTTTCCAACTTGATGCATAATAATAATTATAGTTGCATCAACTGCACCGGTTGAATTGCAGGCTGCCCTGTTGCAAGAAGCTGTTATTGCAGAGGACGGGAAGTCAACATCACCATGGTCCAATTAGGTAAGTGGCATCACCGAAGGCTTTGTACTCTATATCTCCGTGCCCACCACACCAGCTTGGGTCAAGATGCATGCGCCTTGCAATATTATGTCTACATTCCCTTACAACAACCTTGTGAGGTAGGCCGGTATCCCCATTGTGATTTACCTTCAGAGCTTTCTCTGCTGTTAAGGGGCGAATTTCCCCCTTGAAAAAAACCATGACATGACAGCTAGCTGGGTGACTTTGGGCCAATCACTGGGAGACGGGGAGTTCTAGTCCCGCCTTAGCCATGACAGCTAGCTGGGTGACTTTGGGCCAATCACTGGAAGTCGGGGAGTTCTAGTCCCGCCTTAGCCATGACAGCTAGTTGGGTGACTTTGGGCCAATCACCGGGAGACGGGGAGCTCTAGTCCCACTTTAGCCATGACAGCCAGCTGGGTGACTTTGGATCAACGACTAGGGAGATTGGGAGCTCTAGTCCCACCTTAGACCCTTGGCAACCGACTCATATTTATAAGTGTCCCGGGGTCATGTGATCTCCCTTTTGCGACCTTCTGACGAGCAAAGTCAGATCCGCTTAACAACCGGATTACTCTAGGAAAGTCATAAAACGGGGGGGGGGGGTAAAAACTCGCTTAACGGCTGTCTCGCTTAGCCGCCGAAAGATTGGCCGTTGACGTCGTAAGCCGACAACTCCCCGCATTGCTGACTGACGATCGTCTTCCCTCCCAATTTCCTCTTCAACCAGGGCGCTCCCTGCTGAGGAAGTACCGCAACGTCCGTGTGGTCATCCGGATGTCCCTCGGCGGTTGCACGAACCGGCCTTTCTATCGCATCGTAGCCGCCCACAACCGACGTGCCCGGGACGGCAAATACCTCGAGCAGATCGGCTGCTACGACCCGCTGCCCAACTGTTACGGCGAGAAAATTATGGGGCTCAACTTCGACCGATTCAAATATTGGTTTGCCTACGGAGCTACTCTGACCAAACCCCTCGAAAAACTCCTAGGTAAAGGCTCCCCCTTTTGGTTGTTGGGGGTAACACGTCCTCGGCTTAACTACGTCTTAACCGAGCCGAAAATTTCTTGAAGGTACATTCCAGGGGGAAAACACCCTCAGGGATCCTTCCCTGGGCGTGAAACATCTTTTCACCGGTAGCAAATGGAGCTCGAAATTTCTGTTTTTAAGTGAGACGTTAAGTGAGTTTTGCCCCATTTTACAACTTTTCTGGCCGCAGTTGTTAAGTGAATCCAGCTTCCCCCTTGAGTTTATCAGAAGGTCGCCAAGGGGGCTGCGACTGTCGTAAACACAGACGTCTGAATTTTGATCACCTGACCAATGGTCGTTAAGTGTGAAAAACAGTCCCAAGTCTGTTTTTTCAGTGCAATGGTCACTTTGAACGGTCACTAAATGAATTGTTGTAAGGTGAGGGCTACCTGTATTGGTTCTGCTTTTGAAAATTGAATTTGTAAAATACTTTTAGCCAATTTTATTTTTTATTTTTTTTGAAGACTACGGGGCCGTCCTCGACTTACGACCATTTGTCAAGCGCCTGTTTGACAGCCCTCTGTCACAATGGCACTGAAAAAGGGATCACCAATTCTCTCAAGATACGTCCGTTGCAATGTCCCGCGATCGCTTGATCCCCGGTTACGACCATTCCAAGCGGCTTCCGACATGCGAAATCATGATTTTATTCATTTTATTCATTTAAGAAAATTTATATATTCATTTAACTTGCTCTCGGTGACTCCGGGCAGCTTACAAAGATAGGAATGATGTAAGTCGGTGGTGTCTTGCTTAATGACCGCAGCAAAAATGTTTGTAAAGTCAGACAGAGTCATGCAATGCCTCCCTTAATAGCAAATGTTCCGGTCCCAATTATGGCCGTAACGCAAGAATTCCCTTGGTATTCATTCGGTTGAGACCGGTTTGCCCGAACCAGTAGCGGAGATCGTGGGTGGGCCTGCCCCGGTGCTATGCTATCGTTTTTAGGCATTTTTTTGAGGCCGGGTGCATGCACAGAAAGAACAATATCTGAAACCCATCGCTGCCCCGTGCGCTCAATATTTTTCCTATTGTATTTGCAAAATACTTAACGCGCAGAGTGATGCGCTTTTTAATACATATATTTTTTTAAATTTTTAGGTCTTGCTGGATTTTTTCCCCTGCATCCGATGACTGTCACAAACGCGGAGCGGTTCAGGAAGAAAAAAGCCCAGGAAGCAGAGAAGGCAGCCGAAAACGAAGAAGGAGAAAAGGAAGATTTGGACGAAAAGCAGGAACAGCAGCAGCAGCAGCAAAATTGATCCGCGGAGTGAGAAAACCTCACAGTTGGTTGGAGACTGAAAGGATAACATTGATTTTCTTTTTTTTTAATACACGTTGTGACTTCCGTCTACAAAATCTCGCCCTGGATTCTCGCTATTTTGAGGGAAAGTTGGCTCCCGTCTTTTAAAAGAGGCGCACAAACCTCGTCGTGCACCCCAAACAACAGGCCGGCTTCGCACAACCCGGAACTCGTGTCTTCCTAACCCGAGCGGCTTTTTGCGCGATTAAATCCCAAATTTAAAACGAATCCCACAAAAGTTTGAATTCGATGCGGCGCAAAGTCGGTTCAGGAGGGTCGCGGCTGTGCTGCGGCATTGTTTAGCGGAATTGTAAATAAATATGAATTTTCTGCAGTTTTTAGTAAGTCTTTCCCAGAGAAAGCACATTTTCCGTAGAAAAACGGAACATAATATTTTTCTGAAACGGGGACGTTTTGAGATGGCAGCGGCCGCCATCTCGGGGTCTCGCTGGGTAGCGCGGACGATAGGTGTGGTGGTCGCAGAGAAAGTCACTGTAGAAAGGTTGGGGAAGGGTGTTTTGAGCCAGTCCCCTCCTGGCAGAGGTTCTGTAGTCATTCGCCGCGTGCTGGCTGCGAGTGCGAGTTTTCCCGTCCTGTTTCTATAACCACCACTCGATTTTCTCTCCGAGCTTTTTCAGCTGCGAACACCAAGAGGTGAGAACGGAGTGTCTCTTCAGCGCTGGTCGGAATTCGAGATGGGTCATTTTCCTGTTGGAAAAAGGGAGAAAAGGATGTCAGGGAATCCTGCCTTGGGCTATGCAGCTAGTCCTCAATTTACAACCATTTGCTTAGTGGCCAAAGTTACAATAGCAGTGGAAAAAGTGACTCATGACCATTTTTCACACTTAACAACCGTTGCAGTATACCCGTGATCAAAATTCAAGACACTTGGCGAGAAAAGTCGTAAAAGGGAGCAAAACTCGCCAGTGTCTCACTTAAAAACAGAAAATGTTGGGCTCCGCTGTGGTCGTAAGTCGAGGACTAACCGTGCTGGCTAGGGCTGGGTCCCCTCGCAGCAGACAAATTTAACAAACAATTGAATGTGTAGTCTGAAACTGCCACATTGGGGGAAACTTAATTCGTCCTAGTTGAACCTCCATGGACCATTGCAGTCTATCTGAGTTTTCTTTAATAAAAAAGGTAAAAATAAAAATAAACTTCACCGATACGGCCGAGACGAAGTTGTGGATCAGATAATAATCCGCGCCGCAGTGACCGTTTAAACAAACGGGGATGTCGGGCGTCGTATGGGAAGAAAACGAGGTCCTTTTTTTCTGAAGGAAGTCGAAAATTTCCACGTCTTCTCCCTCCCCTTTGCAGGAAAGCTCACCCTGGAAAAGAGACGAACTGAGAATTGGAAACGACATGGGGGGAAAGCCGGGGGAGAAAAGGAAAATAAATGACTGGGTTTTAGGTTCGGGAAACTCCCAAGAAAAATTAAAAGAAACAGAGGAAAAAAATTCTATTCCTGGAACAACAGCCCTGTAGGGTAGGCCAGGCTGAAAGGCAGATGTAATAAATAGGATTTATCTGGGTTGCGTTGCCTTCCTTACTTCCTCACTGCAATGATTAACTACTGGGTGTAATGGTTTACAACAATATCTCTTTAATTTGGACTTCAACTCCCAGAATTCCCCAGCCAGCCAAGGTGTGGACTTCAACTCCCAGAATTCCCCAGCCAGCCAAGCTGGCTGGGGAATTCTGGGAGTTGAAGTCCACAAGTCTTAAAATCACAAAGATTAAGAGAATAATGCTGTCTGATCGTATCTGAACCAGCCACTTTGTATGTCAATCACATTTACGGCTTGGAGAGCGGGAACAACCCAGTCAATCGTCATTTATGCGCATTCCACCATTCTTCAATAAACCGAAGTTCGGTGCAATCTGAGATTTGGGAGAAATATTTCCACTTCTAAAATAACCCGTCCGTTTTCCAAGAAAAACCCAAATTAGCGTTCGGCCCCTACCTTCGTTCCATAAATGGTTGTCGTCCGCACCCCGAGTTTTTCAGTAAAAGCGACCATCGTGAACGCAGCTGTCGCCCCGCCTTCGAATTCCATATTGACCACCTGGAAAACCATAAATACTCGATTTACGGCCATAGTCATCATCATTTAACGACCCCATAATTCCTCGCGGGGTGGAGCCTGGGCAACTGAATGGAGCCGAGTGTTTCCTGGCCGGATGCCCTTCCTGTCGCCAATGCGGAGTTTTGTTCGGCAGATATATTCTCGTTTTGCCCAGAGAGAGAGAAATATCTGCCTCTCCCTAGGATCGAACTCTCAGCCTCCCGATTGTGAGGTGGGAGCTCCACCTCTAGGCCACTGCACCGCTCCGACTTACGACCACAATGGAACCCAAAATTTCTGTCGCTAAGCGAGACATTGGCTAAGGGACTTTTGCCCGTTTTACAACCTTCCTTGCCACGATTGTTAAACAAATCACTGCCCTTAGCAAGTTAGTAACCCAGTTAAGTGAATCTTGGCTTCCCCATTGACTCGTCCGAAGGCCGCAAAAGGGGATCATGTGACCCCGTGCACACTGCAACCGTCGTAAATACGAGTCAGCCGCCGAGCACCTGAATTTTGAAATGTGTGACGCTACAACAGTCATGAGGCATGAAAAACTGCCATCAATCGCTTTTTTTCAGTGCCGTTGAGACTTTCGGCGGCCACTAATTGAGCTGTTTTAACCCGAGGACTACCTATATCAACGGCCTGAATTGGGGTCTCTCTGGAGAGATGAAAAAAGATGCAAAACAGATGCTCCCGACCTTCTCTGCCCCTTTAAACTAAAAACCTCGCCGGGATGTGTTTGATCCTTCTCTAAGAACGAGGCAGAAAAACGGAAGCCTCTCTTGCCACCAAAGAGCACTCCGCTGGCTGATTTGAGACTCGAATCCAAGTCCTTGTCTCCGAGGCTCTTTTGCAACTTGAAAATTCAGATTTGGGGAGGCCAGACGTGAAGCAAAGTGAAGGAGCAGCGAAAAAAAAGGTCTGCTACCCCGCTTACCGACGGATGAATGCAGTGCGTACCTGGTGGCTGACCACGTCATTGTCACAATCGTAAACGCATCTTCCGTACGGGCCGAGCCGCAAAGCTTCGGTCAATGTTTCTATGTCAGACTCGCCGTTGCTGCAGACCACGGAGACTGGCCAGTGAAAAGCACCCTGTGATGATAAATCGGCAGGGATGCAAGGTTTCGCCAGATTTTGGGGGTCCCCCAGGTCCCGTTTCCCCAGACACGAATAAATTGGATAAATACATAGATAGATACCATAGATAGATAGATAGATAGATAGATAGATAGATAGATAGATAGATAGAGATAGACGGATGATAGATAGATAGATAGATAGATAGATAGATAGATAGATAGATAGATAGACGGATGATAGATAGATAAATAGATACCATAGATAGATAGACGGATGATAGATAGATAGATAATAGATAGATAGATAGATAGATGATATATATTGATAAGATAGAGCTAAATGGATGATGATAGATAGATGACATATATAGATAAGATAGAGATAAATGGATGAGAGATATAGATGATATAGATGACAGATATATAGATAAGATAGAGATAGATGGATGATAAGATGATAGATAAGAGATATAGATAGATGATGGGTAGATGGATAGATAATGGATAGACAGATGAGAGATAGATGATAGAGATAAATGACAGATATATAGATAAGATATAGATGGATGAGAGAAAGATAGATAAGATATAGATGATGAGTAGATGGATAGATACTGGATAGACAGATGAGAGATACACAGAGATGATAGAGATAGATGACAAATATATAGATAAGATAGATGACAGATAGATGATAGATGACAGATATATAGATAAGAGACAGATAGACAGACCGACAGAAAGAAAGAGAAAGAAAGAAAGAAAAAAAGAAAAGAAGAAAAGAAAGAAAAAAAAAGAAAGAAAGAAAGAGAATAAACCTCTGAAGGCTTGGGTTTATACATCGCTCTAAGCCATCCTTCTAATTACAGTTTGTCCAGGAAGCCAATTCCACGCAGCAGGCCATCAATCATAGTCTCTTAATAGCTTACATCACAATTTTACATATGGGTAAGGTAACAGAATTTACACGTTATTCTTGGGTCTCAACTGCAGAAAGCAGGTTGGGAATTTTTAGATGCAAATCCAGACGAGCTGGTGAAATGGCAGACTGGGGTCAATTTTGAGCTTTTGTAAGGGTTTCTAGATTATGCAAATAAAGGAATTGGAGAATCAAACTGGGTTATATCTAATTTTACCTTTTCTGCACGCTCCAGGTAGATTTTCCGAGCAGAATACGGGCAGTTCCGTTCAATTGAACAGTTCAAACAGCGAGTGCCAGCTCCTTCAGGCTGCAACAAAATCAAAATAAGGGACAAAAATTACAAAATAGGCAGGTAGTTTTCGACTTACAACCACACAAGGTAGTCCTCGACTTACGACTGTTCATTTAGCGGCCGTCCAAATTTACAACGGCAGTGAAGAAAAGTTACTTCTGCCCATTTTTCACACTTATGATCGTTGTAGCCTCCCCGTGCTCACGTGATCAAAAGTCAAGGCGCTCGGCAACGGATTCATGCTTACGACGGACGTCGTGTCCCCGGGGTCAGGTGATCCCCTTTTTTGCGACCGTTTGACAAGCAAAGTCCACGGGGAAGCTTGATTCACTTAACAACAGGAAGTTCGTAAAACAGGGCCAAACTCACCTAACAAATGTCTCACTTAACAACAGAAATTTTGGGCTCGATCGCGGTCGTAAAAGGAGGACCACCTCTGTGTTGTGTGTGTGTGTGAATACATGCAAATTAGTGCAACATTTGCACTGAATGTCTGGCCCCACAATCAAGAACTATGTTTTAATGAATTGAAACGATTTCAATCTAAACCTTAAAACATGTGGTTTTGATTCAATTAAAATGGCGATTCAATCGTTTAATTCAACTCTTGTGCCACCCCGTCAAACAAAACACAACAACAACTTTTGACAAACCTTGTGCTCTTTCGTGAAATGTGACAGGTGGCCGAAAGAGGAAACTTGTAAACATCTGAAAGGAGAGAAGAAAAGAAAAAAAGAAAAGAAAAAAAAAGGAATATTTGAAGGTTTAACCACAGAGGCTGTGTCAAAGTCTCTAATCCTCGATTTATGACCACCACTGAGCCCCGAATTTCTGTTCTTAACGAGACACTTTTAAAGTTGAATTTTGCCTTATTTTTACCACCTTCGTTGCCACAGTTGTTACATGAATCCCTGAGGTTGTTAAGTTAATCATATGGTTGTTAAGTGAATCTGGCTTTTGCTCTCATCGGAAGGTCCCAAAATGGGATCACGTGACACTGCGTTCCACCCCGGGACACTGCGACTGTCATAAATACGAATCCGTTGCCAAGCGTCTGAATTTGGATTGCTTGACCGTGGGGAGGATACAACGGTCGTTAAGTGTGAAAAAAGGTCATGAGTCCGGGTTTCTTCAGTGCCGTTGTAACTTGGAACGGTCACTAAACTGTTGTAAGTCAAGGACCACCCGTATTGCGGACAGATCTTCGAATACGTCGGGTTTTATATTTTTCCGAAAATGGAATGCAAACCTCTCGTGGCACACGAGAGAGACTATTTCAATTAAGAATAAAATGCAGATTTCTGCATTGAATATTAGATCCATAAGCTCTAACATAAGATCGTGCCAGAATATGGGTTTTGGAGTACTTAAAAAAAAAAAAAAGGCCTGCAATGGATTTGTACAACCTATATATATTGGAAGGGCGGTGGAGAGCGCTAATCACATTTTGAAGCCTCATGCATGGATTAGGTGGGACAGACAGCAGAGCTGCAACAGTTGCATCGATGTCCACTTGACAGCTTATCGAGTGTAGCTAAAATGCAATGCTCCCGAAATGCTCGTGCGAAATGCTAACCGCCACCCAACTTCCAAGAAAAATAGCCAAGAGGATTATTTTGAGGAGTAAAATTTCTACAAGGAAAAAAAAAAAAGAGGAAGCGACAATTAAAACAGACCTACCTTTTACTCCCCATCCAAAAATTGATCAGGTCGATATCGTGGCAGGATTTAGCCAATAAAGAGAAAGAACTTTCGGTTTCGTTTCTCCAATTTCCCCGGACGAAAGAATGGGCGAAATGCCAGAAACCTATCTAGAGGAATAAAGCGGGGAAAAAAGGCAATCGATACACTAGAAAGGCTAAAAATTAAAAACCATGCATTTTGATGACCGTAATGCAGTTTTAGAGCTAAGGTATCAACAAGCTATCAATCTTGGTTTCTTAGTTCTTTCCAGTGGTAGGTTGCCCCCGGTTCGGACCGGTTCTATAGAACCGGCGGGAGGCTCCGCCCACTAACACTGACGTCATTAGAAGCGATCTGCGCATGGCTGTTTGATGTAACAACGGCGCTGAAAAAAAATTGACTCAGGACCGTTTTCACACTTACGACCACTGCATGGTCATGTGATCAAAATTCAGACGCTTGGCAACAGACCCATATTTATGACGGTCACAGTCCCGGGGTCACGTGATCCCCTTTTGTGACCTTCCGACAAGGGGGAAGCCAGCTTCGCTTAACAACCGTGTTTCTAACTTAAAACAACTGCAGTGGTTCGCTTAACGACCGTCGCAAGAAAAGGTCATAAAATGGAGCAAAACTCATTTAACAACTGTCCTGCTTTGCAGCAGAAATGTTGGGCTCCATTGTGGGTCGTAAGCCGAGGACTACCTGTATATAAGATCCAACATATGGGGCAACCTATAGCTGACGCATTTCCCAACAAGAATAAAAACCAATTATGCAATGCTGCCTAGCGGTTAGAGTGATTAATCTGAACATGGAATTTAAGAACAGGTCCTTAAGGAATGTAAAATCTCAAAACTGGAGAAAAAAAAATGTGTATTAAAATATATATATATAAAACTGGAGAAGGAGATACTAGACGGGAGCAAGACACTGAGCTTGTCGATCAGAAAGATTGGCAGTTCGGCGGTTCGAATCCCTAGTACAGATCTCCTGCGAGAGCAGGGGTTGGGCTAGATGACCTCCAAGGAGCCTCCCAACTCTGTTACCGTTAACTGTTAAAAAGGACACGCTTTCGACATAAAGTACATTTTCAAAAAGAAAGAGAATTCTTACCGGTTCCAGATGTTGAATATGGCAGATGTCGCCGATCAAGCCGGCATCTAGCAATTCCTAAAAAGAAAAGAAAGCTTGTTTTTCATTTTTTCCGTCTTTTTTTTTTTTGTGTGTGTGTGGGCTCATGAAAGCTGTTCTGTTATTCCCTTCGGCTCCTGTAAAAAAAAAAAAAATGGCAAATTTTAAGAAGAGGCGTTTGAGCCTGTTTTTTATCCCTCCTCCCTCCCTCCTCCTCCTCCTTTTTCATTGTGGGTTACGTCTTTTAAATTAAATTAAGCTATCCATCAGAACATCTTTACTCGAGGCCTTTGAGATGAAAGTTTGGTAGGAAAAAAAAACAAAAACGAGATTCAAATGTTGGTCCCCCTTTATCTTCGGATCTTAACATGGACAGCCAAGTCAGCTGTTGGCAAGAGAGAGAGCCGTCATGCTGTCGAGACAAAGAGAGGTCATCTAGTCCAACCCCCACTCCCCAAGATGGGTTCTTAAGAATATATCACCTTGATCTTCAGGGTGACCGGATGGTAACGGAGCACGTGGCACACGGCAAGGATCACGTGATTACTTTCGCACGCCCGGACGACCTCTTTACAATCTTCTTCCGTCACCTAATTCAAAAGCAAAGGATTTTTAATAAGAATAGAATAGAATAGAATAGAATAGAATAGAAATAAGATTAGAGTAGGATACGATAGGAATAGAGTAGAGTAGGATTAGGGATTAGGATAGAATAGGATTAGGATGAAAGTAGATTAGGATTAGGATATAGAATAGAATAGAATAGAATAGAATAGAATAGAATAGAATAGAATAGAATAGAATAGAAATTAAGATTAGGAGTAGGATTACGATAGGAATAGAGTAGAGTAGGATTAGGGATTAGGATAGAATAGGATTAGGATGAAAGTAGATTAGGATTAGGATATAGAATAGAATAGAATAGAATAGAATAGAATAGAATAGAATAGAAATTAAGATTAGATTAGGATAGGAGCAGAGTAGAGTAGATTAGGGATTAGATAGATAGGATTAGGATTAAAATAGATTAGGATTAAGAATAGAATAGAATAGAATAGAATAGAAATAAAACCACAATCAATCGATCTGCTTCAACTCTAAAAAGATAGGATTTTGATTGAAAGGCATTTTTAAAATTATATTTATTTAAGGTCAGATTTCTAATTTGCCTCATTTCTTCCCTTCCCATGCTTGCTCTGTATAGAATTTTCCCCTAAATATTTGTTTCGCTTCGACAAATGCCCCGCTTTGTTTGTTATGGGCATACGGGGTACTCGCAAAATGGCGACAAAACTTGGGTTTTGCAACAGCGATTTGCAGGGGGGGAAAAAAAAAACCCCAAAGATTCCTCCACTAAGGTTAGATTTTTATAAACAGATACTGCTAGAAACATACTTTGCATTGATATGAATAAGCACCAATTATCTTAATAATTTAATATTAACAATATGAATAAACCCAAATACTTGTATTAATGATAATCATTAATAACACTTTGCCAGAACTTACCGCCATGGGTTTTTCCAACAAGATGTGATATCCCTTTTGGGCAAAAGCTACAGCAGGTGCCTGATTGGAAGGAATAATAATAATAATAATATCAACAACAACAACAACAACTGCGCTACTCGGAACATCGTACATCTTAAGAAGGTACTTGGTTGATCCCTAAGACGCTGGCAGCAACCCGTATCAACCATTACCACCAATTAATGGTATTTGTGATGCAGTTTTAAATGTTCAGTTGACTTGAGTTTCATGTTTAATGAATTAAGTAAATAACAATAACAATAACAATAAGGAGGAGGAGGAGGAGGAGAAGAAAATGAGGAGGAAGAGGAAGGAGGAGGAGGAGAAGGAGGAAGTAGAAGAGAAGAAGGAGAGAGGAGAGGAAAAGGAGGAAGTAGAAGAAGAGAAGGAGAAGGAGAAGAAGAGGAGGAAGAAGAAGAAGGAGGAGGAGGAGAAGGAGGAAGTAGAAGAAGAGAAGAAAGAGAAGGAGAAGAAGATGGAGAAGGAGGAGGAGGAGAAGGAGAAGAGGAGGAGGAAGAGGAGGAGAGGAGGAAGAATAGAAGAAGAGAAGAAAGAGAAGAAGATGATGGAGAAGGAGGAGAGAGGAGAAGAAGAGGAGGAAGGAGAGAGGAGAGAGGGAGAAGGAACAGAAGGAGAAGGAACAGAAGGAGGAGGAGGAGGAGGAGAAGGAGAAGAAGAGGAGGAGGAAGAAGAAGGAGGAGGAGGAAGTAGAAGAAGAGAAGAAAGAGAAGGACAATGGAGAAGGAGGAGGAGGAGAAGGAAGAGGAGGAGGAGGAGAGGAGAGAGAGGGAGAAGGAACAGAAGGAGGAGGAGAAGGAAGGAAAGAGAACAGAAGGAGAGAGGAGGAGGAGAAGGAGAGAAGAGGAGGAGGAAGAAGGAGGAGGAGGAGGAAGTAGAAGAAGAGAAGAAAGAGAAGAAGACGATGAAGAAGGAGGAGGAGGAGAAGGAAGAGGAGGAGGAGGAGAGGAGAGAGAGGGAGAAGGAACAGAAGGAGAAGGAACAGAAGGAGGAGGAGGAGGAGGAAGAGAAGAAGAGGAAGAGGAGAAGGAGAAGGAGGAGGAGGAGGAGAAGTCGTCTTGCACTATGAAATGAGCAAGATATGTGATCAAGAAAGAAAGCACAACAACACTGTATTCAGCTGTGGGTTTCACATATTTTTACTACTGGTTTGCTGCCCGTGCGCGCCTTTCACACATCCGCCCAGCCTTCCACGCACGGGCTTTGCTCGCGAACCCGCCTTCCGTGCATGCGCCCGGCCTCGAAAAGGTAGCTAAATAGGGCAAGTGGGCGGGCCTACCCGTAGTCACCGCTACCGATTCGCCCGAACCGGCTGAATACCACCTCTAGACTGTATTGATGGAACAAAAAACAACACAAAGCAAACACAACACAACACACACACACACACACACACAATTTTAAGTTGAAAGATCGCACAGCTTCAAAAACTCTTTCTCTCTATAGGCACAATTTTTTTATTTTCAGTTTTTTCAGCTGGTTAGGATGCTCCCGGGGGACACAAAACACTGGCAAACTGCAATGCAATGACAATTAAAAAAATAATTTTTGTTTTTACGATTTATTTTACAAGGATAATTACAAGAAAAATAACAGAAGCGGAGTGGGAGATTTTTGGACCCACCTTATGGAGTCTGTCTGGAGTTGCTATAATCACGGCGTCAGCAAACTTTGCTCGTTCCGCAGCGGCAATCCAATCTTTAAAAGAAGAAAGGAGCCGTTAAAAACATTGCAGGAATCGGGGGGGATTCCAATGACCAGAAAATCAGAAGGGGGGAACCTGGAGATCGTCTAATCCAACCCCGTGCTCAGTGCAAATTTATAAAAAAAAATTATCTGTTTGCTTGAACTTGGCTGACTTCTCTTAGTTTATTCCTAACATTCAGTCAAGATCTGCTTTCTTGCAACTTCAGTACATTACAGGTACTCCTCAACTTACAACAAGTTCGTTTAGTGACCCTTCAAAGTTGTGAAAAAAAGTGATTTAGGACCGTTTTTCACACTTACGGCCATTGCAGAATTCCCCATGTCACGTGATCCAAATTCAGACACTTGGCAACGGACTCCTATTTATCACGGCGTCCCAGGGTCACATGATTCCCTCTGGCAAACTTCTGACGAGCAAAGTTAAGCCAGATTCGCTTAACAACCGTGTCACTAAGGCGATCATCGCACCGGTTCACTTAACCACGGTGGCGAGAAAGATCGTAAAACGGGTCGTAAAACCTGCGGAACCAACGTCTCCCTTAGCCACAGAAATTTTGAGGCTCCACTGCGGCCGTACCGGTGTTTTCAAAACGATTTAACCATATTTTTCAGACTATAAGACGCACCTAAATTTAGAAGAGGAAAAAGACAACAAAAAGTTTTTGGCCTAGCTTTTTCCGGGTTTTTTTCTTTTTTGGCCTGTTTTGGAGGCTTTTTTCAGCCCATTTTCAAGGCTTTTTTCAGCCCGTTTTCAAGGCTTTTTTCGGCCCGTTTTCAAGGCTTTTTTCGGCCCGTTTTCAAGGCTTTTTTCAGCCCATTTTCAAGGCTTTTTTCAGCCCTTTTTGGGGCTTTTTTCGACCCATTTTGGGGCTTTTTTCGACCCGTTTTCAAGGCATTTTTCAGCCCATTTTCAAGGCTTTTTTCAGCCCATTTTGGGGCTTTTTTCGACCCGTTTTGGGGGCTTTTTTCGGCCCGTTTTCAAAGCTTTTTTCAGCCCATTTTGGGGCTTTTTTCGACCCGTTTTGGGGGCTTTTTTCGGCCCATTTTTGAGGCTTTCTTCGGCCCATTTTTTCAGAAAAAACAGACCAAAAAAACCCCAAAAATGGGCTGAAAAAAGCCCGAAAAATGGGCCCCAAAACCTCAAAAACAGGCCAAAAAAAGTCCCCAAAACGGGCCCTCAAAGCCTCAAAAACAGGCTGAAAAAAAGCCCCTAAAATGGGCCAAAAAAAGCCTCGAAAATGAGCCGAAAAGTCCTGAAAAAGGCCCAAAAACAGGGCATGTGGAGGCAAAAAAAATGGCTGGTGGGTGGGCAGAGCTTCAGCAATATTCGGTCTATAAGACGCACAGACATTTCCGCCCCCTTTTGGGAGACAAAAAAGTGCGTCTTATAGTCCGAAAAATACGAATAATAATAATTTAACCCATTTTGTTTTTTTAAAAAAAATATTTTTAAGCGTTCAAAAAAAAAAGGAAAATTTAAAAAGTTATTTTTTTGTAAGGCGGGGCGCCCCTGTTTGGAAGAAAAGGAAGATTAAAATGCAGCAATGCAACCTCACCGTCGAAGACATTCTCTGCCGGGATTTTATGTGCGTCTTGCAGTTTTTGACGGACAAGCGCCCGAGGATCAGCTACGCCAATCACCTGGAAGAAACAAACTTCCCACAATTGCATCAGACATTACAGCTAGTCCTTGACTTAACAGTTCGTTTAGTAACCAAAGTTACGACAGCACTGAAAAAAAAGGAGGTAAGTTTTTCACACTTACGACCTTGTAGCCTCCCCGTGCTCATGTGAACGAAATTCAGATGCTTGGCAACGGATTCGTATTTATGACGGTCGCAGGGTGTCAAGCAATGCCCTTTTGCAACCTTCTGACCAGCAAAGTGTAATGATTGCGGTGGCTCACTTAACAACGGAGGCCAAGGAAGGTCATAAAACTCCCTTAGCAAATGTCTCACTTAACGACAGAAATTTAGGGCTCCGTTGTGGTCGTAAGTCGCGCCCTACCCTTGCCGTGGTTCTGTGGTCTTTATAAAGAAGGCGAGATATTTTCATGAAATACCTTAAGAAGCTGGAAACTTGTTAATGTCCCAAACGCAGTTTTTATTTTGTCGCATTTGGGAGAATCATATTAAAATACGCAACCCTGTTTTTAAATGAAATTCAAAATGAAAAGAAAAGGAGGGGATGGACTGAATCTACCCACCGGTAGGCATTTTGCTGGATTTATCTTAATAAAAGGAAAAATAAATATATTAAGAACTAAGATGCTGAGCTCGTTGATCGAAAGGCTCGGCAGTTCAGCGGTTCGAATCCCTGGCGCCGTATAACAGGGTGAGCTCCCGTGACTCGTCCCAGCTCCTGCCAACCTAGCAGTTCGAAAGCGCGTAAAAAATGCAAGTAGAAAAATAGGGGCCACCTTTGGTGGGAAGGGAAGAGCGTTCCGGGCGCCTTTGGCATTGAGTCATGCCGGCCACACGACCACGGAGACGTCTTCGGACAGCGCTGGCTCTTCGGCTTTGAAACGGAGGTGAGCACCGCCCCCTAGAGTCGGGAACGACTAGCACATACATGCAAAGGGAACCTTTTTACCTTTACCTAATAATTATATTAATCACAAACCAGAATTTTACCTTCATGCGTTCCGGGTAACATAAAGCATACGAAGAATAATTCTTGCCCCTGTTTCCCGCGCCAATAACCAATACGGTGATTTTGCGAGACATTCGGCTGGGAGCTTCCGACAGATCTGATCAATGAAAGGATGGGTTAAGAAAAGCTTTTGAACCATCATCCACTCCTTGCGTGGGATTAAGACATCACGGTAAAAAACCAGGAGGTCCTGAATTCAAGTCCTGCCTTGGCCATGAAAGCCGGCTGGATGACTTTGGGCTGATCACCAGGAGACCGTGAGTTCTAGTCTTCCGTTAAGACAGGAACGCCAGCTAGATGATTTAGGGCCAATCACGAAGAGATGGTGAGTTCAAGTCCTGCTTTAGGTATGAAAGCCAGCTGGGTGACTTTGCGCCAATCACCAGGAGACTGGGAGTTCCAGTCCTGTCTTAGGAATGAAAGCTGGCTGGGTAACTTTGGGCCAATCACTAGGAGACTGGGAGTTCTAGTCCCGCCTTAGCAACAAAGCCAGCTAGGTGGCTTTGGGCCAATCTCCAGGCGATGGTGAGTTGTAGTCCTGCCTTAGACATGAAAGCTGGCTGGGTGACTATGCGCTAATCATCAGGAGACTGGGAGTTCTAGTCCCGCCTTAGGCATGAAAACTGGCTGGGTAACTTTGGGCCAATCACTGGGAGACTGGGAGTTCTAGTCCCGCCTTAGCAACAAAAGCCAGTTAGGTGACTTTGGGCCAATCACTGGGAGACTGGGAGTTCTAGTCCGGCCTTAGCAACAAAAGCCAGTTAGGTGACTTTGGGCCAATCACTGGGAGACTGGGAGTTCTAGTCCCGCCTTAGCAACAAAAGCCAGTTAGGTGGCTTTGGGCCAATCACTGGGAGACTGGGAGTTCTAGTCCGGCCTTAGCCATGACAGCTAGCTGGGTGACTTTGGGCCAATCACTGGGAGACAGTGAGTTCTAGTCCTGCCTTAGGTATGCAAGCCAGCTGGGTGACTTCGGGCCAATCACCAGGAGACCGGGAGTTCTAGTCCCATTTTAGGCACGAAAGCCAGCTAGGTGACTTTGGGCCAGTCCCTCTCTCTCTCAGCCCAACCCACCTCACAGGATTGTTGTCATAGGGGGGGAAAAAGAAGGAAGGAGCGCTAGGTATCTCGGCTGCCTTGAGTTACTTATCAAAATAACAAAGGCGGTAAATCAATAACCAAATAAACAAACATTAACCAGCTTGGATATGCTTGTTTATTTGGGTCTAACCTTGCATAACCTGGATAGGATTATGTTTTTTTTAAAAAAATGTACCAAATTAAATGGGAATGAGGAAAACTCCATTTTACAGAGCAGTATTTTTAAAAAAATCCCATTGACTATAAGTGGATTTCCCCCCACCCTAAAACTGGAGAAATAACTGGCCCTGCTAAGATCCCAGCCCTTCCCTAGACAAACCAGGATCGCAAATCTCAGTTTCCTACCTAGAGACAAAAACCAGGACCACAAATCTCAGTTTGCTACAAGCCAGGATTTTCTGGGGTTTCTTGCAAGAATAGCCTATTCCCCCTTTTGCAAAAATTATTCCTGGGCATTGCAAAAAAAAAATGCTTCTGCCTTCAGTTGTTTTCCCAATAGGATCATCCAATCATGCAATTAAAAATAAAATTTAAAAAAAGGAAATTACTCACCAGCCAGAATTTAATTGCATCAACCGTCTCAGGAACAAAATAGACCTTAAACAGAAGCTGGCGAGGCCACGCCCCCCTCCTGGCTCGTCATTGGTGCGAGGTTCTGCCAGCCGAGCGCTGACGTCATGAAAGCGGAAGGGATCTTTACTGGCTGGCTAAGTGTGAAACCCGAAAGCTGATTGGTTACAACTTGAAGAGGGCTGAGAAGGCATGGGGAGGGGCGGGGCTTCTTTTCCATTCATCATTTCAAAGTGTGTATTAAGCTGGGCTCTTACTGTAATAAAGGTTTGATTTGAATTATATTATATTATATTATATTATATTATATTATATTATATTATATTATATTATATTATATTATATTATATTATATTATATTATATTATATTATATTATATTATATTATATTATTATATTTATTATATTATATTACTTTACATTACATTATATTATATTATATCACAATATATATATTATATATATATATATATATATATATATATATATATATATATATATATATATATATAAATAAATATAACATATCATAATATGTTAATTAGCAATTTTATGATGTTTGTGTGTCTATATTTTTCTTGACTGTACACCGCCTTGAGTCCTACGGGAGAAAGGCGGTATAGAAATATAATAAATAAATAAATAAATAATATATCACATCACATCACACCACTGTATTGTATTGTATTGTATTGTATTATACTGTATTTGGGCAGGTGTATTTTTTTTAATGCTGTTACTGTTTTAATGGTTCTCCTTGTGGACAAAGAGAGGGTGCATAATTAATTCCACCCCCCTCTAAATTAATGTTTCTTAACTTCTGCAATTTTTTTGAGATGTGTGGACTTCAACTTCCAAAATCCCCAGCCAGCCTATGTGGAGTACAACCTCCAGAAATCCCCAGCCAGCATTTGCAGACTTCATCTCCCATAATTCCCCAGGCTGCATGGTTTAAGACTTCACCTCCCATAATTCCCCAGCTTGCATGCATTAAGACTTCACCTCCCAGAATTCCCCAGCTTGCATGCATTAAGACTTCACCTCCCATAATGCCCCAGCCTGCATGCTTTAAGACTTCACCTCCCATAATTCCCCAGCTTGCATGCATTAAGACTTCACCTCCCATAATTCCCCAGCTTGCATGCATTAAGACTTCACCTCCCATAATTCCCCAGCCTGCATGCATTAAGACTTCACCTCCCAGAATTCCCCAGTTTGCATGCATTAAGACTTCACCTCCCATAATTCCCCAGCCTGCATGCATTAAGACTTCACCTCCCATAATTCCCCAGCCTGCATGCTTTAAGACTTCACCTCCCAGAATTCCCCAGCTTGCATGCATTAAGACTTCACCTCCCAGAATTCCCCAGCTTGCATGCATTAAGACTGCACCTCCCAGAATTCCCCAGGCAGCATGTTCCATAATATGAATCAGGAATTTTGCCCTCCTATTTCTGAGTCAATAAAGGGAGTAGCCCCTCCTTGCAAGCCCTTCCTTGAGATCCAGAGCAGCGGGTTAGTCTAGATGGTCTCTAAAAACCCCTACCACCTTTGACATTTTGATATTCTACCAAAAAAAAACAACAACCCCCAAATCAGCCATCTTGGATATTTTATTTTTATTAGATATGCATCTAGGATTATCCTTCCCCACCGCCCCAGCACATGGGGCCAGAAATGCCAATTATTATTATTATTATTATTATTATTATTTTGCATTCCTTCATATCGTCAGCATCAGAGGTTGCTGTTCGTCCGGCAGTTCCTCCCCTGGGGGGATTTCGTAAAAGACGCAGAGCGAGGAATACAGGCAGCCCACGAAAGAGACCACGCTGGCAAAGTACATCACTCCGTTGGCACTGCCCACCGCTGCCGTTAAAGGGCCCATGACGATAGAGACCAGAATCTGGGCCAGGAAATATTGACAGCTCAGGAGAGAGATATCAACTCCCATGCCTCGTTTAGTGCCGTCTTTGTCGGTGCCGGCAAACTGTTTCGAGAAAGACAGAAGAAAGAAAGAAAAACCCCAGAAGATTTTTTTAAAAATTGCAAAACTCCATCTTCCACGATAAGACTTGCAAAGATGTTCCCAAAAAAAATACCTCAACGTGTTGGAAGTGTAAGAAAACTCAAGGAACATATTACCATCTATGGTGGATGTGCCCGGCGTCAAAAAAAAATTGGACAAATATAAAGAAATGGATAGAAAAAATAATAGATCAATTGAAAGAAAACCGGAAACATTCTTGTTAGGAATATTCACCAGAACATACAAGAAGGAAATAAAATACTTGATCCTACATATTATAACAGCTGCAAAACGAATAACATATGCAAAAAATTGGAAACAGGAAAGGACCCCAACAGACGAAGAAGCGATAGAAAAAGTTTTAGAATGTGCTGAGAATGGACAAATTAACAAAAGAAATTAAAGAAAAAGAAGAGACGGATTATTATACAATATGGAATAAATGGTATGAATGGCTTGAGTCGAGAAATAAAGAATAACCATCACAGGAAAGAAGTTAGAAGTATAAAATATGTATATAACAAATGTATAGAAATGTATAAAATTAAGGATATAATTAAAAGTGTAAAATATGTATATAACAAATGTATAGAAATGTATAAAATTAAGGATATAATTAAGAGTATAAAATATGTATAGAACAAATGTATAGAAATGTATAAAATTAAGGATATAATTAAGAGTATAAAATATGTATATAACAAATGTATAGAAATGTATAAAATTAAGGATATAATTAAAAGTATAAAATATGTATATAACAAATCTATAGAAATGTATAAAATTAAGTTTATTAATGTTAGAAAATACAAATGTAACCAAAGAAAAAGGGACAATGGGAAAAAAAAATGAAGAGATATGGGAGGAAAGATATAATAAAGGAAAGAAGACCACGAAGAAAATGTTTAAAAAAGAGGAGATATTTATATGTTGAATGTTATGTGATTGTCATATCTGTGTCATAATAAAATTAAAAATAAAAATTGCAAAACTCGCTAAGCTTCGTGCCCAGGATGATTGCATGGCGATAAGAAGAGATTATAGACTATATGCATATATTTCTATATGCATAGAAATATTGTAATTATGCAACAATATTTGGACTTCAAAGTGGAGTTCAATTCCCAGAATTCCCCAGCCATTCCTCAGGGAATTCTGGGAGTTGAAGTCCACCCGTCTTCAAACTGCCGTAGAGTAAGAAGTTCTCTCATTTCTAAACCACTCCTAAACGCTTCGACCATTCTTTTCTAAAGGACTCCCTTCTGAAAGATGAAGGCCCTCTGTACATGCCCAGAGACCCTCCGGCCGAGAAATTTGAGCAATTGCCATACCTGCTTACTTTGATAGTAGTCGCACAGCAAGGAATAAGGAAGCGTGCAGAGGGTGGAAAAAAGCACGCCGTAGGTGACGCAGAGCGATAGGATCACGTAGATATTTCGAGTCAAGGTAGCCAGACCGGTGCCGAGACCGAAAACTAAATAGGCTATAAAATACAGCGTGCGGATGCTGAGATATTCTTCCAGTTTCTCAAGGGAAGCTGCCAAAGGAAGAAAAATCAATTCTTAGAACTAAGGAGAAATTTCCTGACAGTGAGAACAATTAACCCGTGGAACAACTTGCCACCAGAAGTTGTGAATGCTCCAACACTGGAAGCGTTTAAGAAGATGGTTGGATAACCCTTTGTCTGAAGTGGTGTAGGGTTTCCTGCCTAAGCAGGGGGTTGGACTAGAAGACCTCCAAGGTCCCTTCCAACTCTGTTATTCTATTCTATTCTATTCAACCTATACAACCCGGCTCATTCCATACCTTTTAAACCGAGACACTGCAAATGGCAAATGCGTTAATTGCAAATAATTTATTTGGAATGAATAAACCTATCCCTTCCTGGTGTTTTTGTCATGCATGCGATTTGATTCTCTATGCCTTTTTTTTATTTTAAAGAGTCTTTTTGTGTTTTGTTTATGAGCCATCTTCGGTTCCATGCAAGAGGAAGGAAGGGAAGACAAAGGAAAGGAGGAGAGAAGACGGGACGGAGGAAGGCAGGAAAGGAGGGAGGGAGGAAAGTGAAGGAAGGAAGGAAAGGCAAAGGAAATGAGGAGAGATGGAGGGAAGGAGGAAGGAAAGACAGGAAGGAAGGAAAGGAAGAAAGAGAGGAAAGGAGGGAGGGAGGAAGGAAGAAAGGAAGGGAGGGAAAGATGAAGAAGGGAGGGAGGGACAGAGGAAGGAAGGAAAGACAGGAAAAAAGGAAGGAAGGAAGGAAGGAGAAGGAAGGGAGAGACAGAGGAAGGAAGGAAGAAGACAGGAAAGGAGGGAAAGATGAAGGAAGGAAGGAGGGAAGGAAGGAAAATAAACATAGGAACTTTCCACCATAACTTCCGAATTAAAGTCACTAGTGGAAGATTCTTAAAACCCCCAATGAGACAATCCTTAAAATGGGCGCAACAACCTCCGTTTTAAAGGATGCGTCTTTACCGTGCCATTACCGTGTTTACAAAGTGGTAGAGCCCTCTCAGAGCTTCAGGACATTATTTCCCCGCCCCCCGAAAACCCACCGCCTGAATCCCTCCGCCCCCCCCGTGTCATCCCTATTATACCCAAGTCGCAATTCCCACCGATTTACCTGAATACAACGCCGCGCTGAATGCGTAGACGCACATGCCCCAGCACCCCATGGTGACGCCGGCGTTGTACCTCTGGCGCTCGTCTGAATCCGGGGGGGCTTTGGGGTTCCCTTGGTAGACCACCTCTCCCATGAAGTCGGTGTAAAAGAGTAACATCCCTTCAAACGACAGCCAGCCTGCGAGCGGGGACAGAGAAGACAACAGGGTGTCCGAAGAGACATGTCACCGGAGGAAAAAGTAGGAAGGAAGGAAGGTCGGTGGAGGAGAAGACGGTTAGAAGATGGTTTTTCAAACAGGGTTGGAGGACTGAGGGCCCTCCCAGAGCCTGATAAGGTATGTTTCCCCGCGAGACATGCAACAAACCAGGATTGGGCAGCCACAATGCTTGGATTAGCACCCATGG